TTAATGGGCCCCAAACGGTCGGTAACCGGCATGTTTATGCCATAGGGCGTACGGTCTTGCCTTACTAGAATAATGTTGGTAGGGCCCGGGGCCCCAGCCCATTAGGTTCACTTACGAACAACCGCCATGTTAGATACATGTGACGAAGCTTGTAACATTTACGAAACTTGAGATGAATCGTTAATGAATTAAAAGTAATCGTTGAAATATTCTAAGGGAAATGTAGCTTGCTACAAAGGGTGCCTTCCAGTTGTCGTGGGGTGAAGTTGTTGAGATTGTTCTTGCTCGTAAACTTGAACCCCAAAGGGATCCAGAGAACAGTGTTCAATCTTCTTACTGGGGTGGTCACACGTCGGCAGGCCAATGCGATCCATGGCATTGTGGTCAAATGCATGTGCACCAGCTGCATGCGTGTTATCCATTGACATTAGGCATTAGCCAACTAAACTTAGAAATGACTGGGATTGAAATGAGCATGTGGTCCTCCCAAGTGTTGCTAGCTTGCATAAAGCAACCTGTTGATGTGCGGTGTCCTGTGAGATAAAGTGAAAGAAGTCGGAACTAGAGAGTACCTTAGCATATGCATGTATTATTCAACCATAGATTTGAGAGTGCTTAACTGTGAACATTGCCTGTACAGAGTATTCGGCCAAATAAGTAGATTTTGCCTCATTTCTGCAACCTGAACCAATCGAATGTTAACCGCCTATCATAATTGCATCTCTATGAAACAGGTACCTATTCCCTCAGCACCACAATGTATAGGTAAATGTCTGGCCATGTAGTTAGGACCCGAAGCTACACCAAGCCAGCTGGCTTTCCTGCTGTTGTAGACTTCAGACGACACAACCACATAATGGGGGCATCGAATGATACCGATTGAGACAAGTGTCTTGAATAATTAGTCATCAGTGACTCCACTTGGGCCTCGTGCCAATAAGGATCCCCAGTACGACTGGGCGGCGCCGTATCCAGAAGCCATAGTTCGCAGGAACTACTCTCGCTCAGTCAGACGAAACTGGGACGCAGGTCCCAGCTTTACGTAAGTAAAACCCCCGCCCATATGCAGGTATGGACTTCTGCAGTGGTGCGGCATTAAGGTGGCGGACGACTAACAGTAGTCGCTTAGCCGCCGTCACCCATAGACTTCCGCAGCAGTGCGGCACTTGAATGGCGGACAACTAACAGTAGTCATGTTATCCACCGGCGCCTATGGACTTCCGCAACAGTGCAGCATTTGGATGGCGGACGACTAACAGTAGTCGCTTAGCCGCCGTCACCCATGCACTTCCGCAACAGTGTGGCACTTGAATGGCGGATGACTAACAGTAGTCGTTTTATCCGCAGGCGCCCATGGACTTCCACAACAGTGCAGCATTTGGATGGCGGACGACTACTGTTAGTCGCTTAGCCGCCACAGCTAACAGTAGCCGCAATTAAACTAATATCAGTATTAGTTAATACCTGTAAGCACCAACCACGGAATTGACGGATGTTAGTAATATTGGAGTTTGGTAAATCGGAGTGGACAAGCTAACCACCGACAGTTAGGTTTCGGCGCCCAAACCATTGCGGAAAACCTTTACAGGATACAACACCTGCAAGAAACAGAGACTCCTTTTCCTTTCTTGAGTATCATGAAGTGTCACTGGGGGCCAATAGGTGGATCCCATTAGGAGGTCGATGTTTCAGTTCGAAATCTACTCACTGCTCCCAAACTTCTCAACTTCGAGGGTTCAAATGGAAGGAATACTCATGTGGCACATCACTACAACCTCCACTCATACCCCATGGCATAAACACGTCGGTTACCAACCATTTTCAACACTACCAGGTTCATTAACCAAACCGACCGGGAACCGAGGATGGTTACTGGCTAATGGTCCCTCCTGATGGTCCCTCCTAATGGTCCCTCCTAATGGTCCCTCCTCTTACTGGCCCAGTAACCTATGGTCATCTTGGTAACTGGGCCGGTTGGGTGGCAACTGGGTGTAGCAGCTGACCGCTGAAAAGGTCTCTCAAGTTGCTGGTGGTCATGCTCTGCACGTATTTATAGCACCGTACTGTGTACCGGCTGCTACACTGGGCCAGAACCAGCCTAGGGCCATAGGGCTGGGTTGTTGCTTGCATGGATGTGGGTGCTGGATGGTGTGGAGAAGGGGGCCAGTTGGAGAGCCTTGTTTCTGGCTGCACCCCACTGAACTTCTGTGTTCTGGTTTATGGGCTCTGACTCTAGCCGATTTGTTACTAACAGCACCCTCCTTGCCTGTGTGAACCCGGAAATCCCCAGATGGCACCTATCCTGGCTGGCAGTGAGGGCAAAGAAGACGCACAAGATTGTGAGCACCATGGGCTGGGGGCTCTGCCAGCAGCATGAGTGCTGGTGGCATGACAGCCGGCCATGTTGACCCCTGCAGCATACATGCTGAAGAGCTCCCATGGATGCTGCAGCAATGCTGATATGGCTGTGCGGTTGTGCCACTACAAGAGCAAGGAGTGGACGATCCTGAAGTCGCCGGTTCAACTCCCACCAATCATGCTTGAGTGGAAATCAGGTTTGGCGACTCAGAGAGCGAATATCGCACAAATTATAAAAGTAGCTGAACCGACTGGACTGTCTCTGTGCCTGAAAAATCTGAAGACGGTTAGGCACATGTGAGCCAGCACATGATGTGACGTGGAGTAATTACCCACTGCCCAAGGGTAGGCGAAGGTAGGCACAGGCTGGCGGTATACGAGGCTCTAAGGGCCCGGGACAGTTCCTTTTAAAGGGGGGGGAATGTAGCAGCCGGTACACAGTACGGTGCTATAAATACATGCAGAGCACGACCACCAGCAACTCGAGAGACCTTTTCAGCGGTCAGCTGCTACAGGCTGAGTCTGCTTGTCCATCCATCAATGGATGGCCACCAGCTGCTATGAAACAGTAACACTGAATGGCTGCTACTGCTGTCTCTGCTGCTGAGAATGCTGTGGGTGGGTCGTGGTGTCATACAGCAGCAGCCTCACTGTTGCCACCCACATGCCCTCCATGGTCTGGGTTGGCAGGGCCACACAGCCTCTCATACCAGGTGCATGAGGAGTCCAGCACGGGATCTGTACAGGATCTGCACAGGATCTGAATTATTTGAAGTTCTTGGTAAATGTCACTTCATATTTGTTTGAAGGACTTGGTATTCAGTACTAAGTGCTTTGAGGGCAGTTAGTATATATGTAACACGGTGCTAATTGATCACTTAGATCATGATCTACTAAGCGGCCTCTTAAGAATGTTACCAAGTAGCTATGAAGGACATATGAGATGGGTAGCACTAAGATGATATTGAGATGATATTAAGAAGGTATTAAGAAGGTATTAAGTGGTGGTGTTCTAACAGCTCCTAAAATTTACAGTGTCCCTATGAGGTAGCTACCTTGAAGCAGCAATAAAAATTCTTCAGCTGCAGCTCAGCAAAAAAACCAACATTGCCGTTAACGGCAACAGGCAGTAACATCATAGAACTTCACTTTCAGCATGTCCTTAATTGTAACCCTTTCAAGCTGTTAGCAACTATATCTCTTGGCACCACTTAACAGCTTGTGTAAATTGAACAATTCTTAACAACTACCTTAGCCAAACCCTAACAGCCATCAAAATTTCTTTCTCTGCAGCTGGATGAGCTGCCCACAGTGTAACATCCTGTCAACAATCTTCTGTTGCGACCAGCAGCACTCAGTTACAGGTCCTTACAGATGCTAACAGATCCAAAAAGCTAACGATTGTTAACAGCTTGGGCTCCAGGTATATGTCTGGTCTGGTCTGGGTTTAAGGTCCTGGGTTCGATTCCTGGGGAGACCCCCGAAATAGTCGGGAGCGCGAGATTATGGCTAGCTGCTGAGATGTGGAGTTGAGGTCACAGTTGATCAACTGATCATGATGGACCAGATTCGCACGCTGGATTGGTGGCGATTACTGAACCCTCCGTCTCTTCAGATGTTCGGGTGAATGGATGAGGAGGGGTCCCTGAAGGCTGGATCCGCTGCCTTGGACTTACAGTTATATATGTATGGCGAAGACAGTGTGGTAGTGGTGGATGGTGCTATAAGGTGATAAATCGTAGAACTGACAATGTGATAAAGCGGCCCAGAAGCCTCCCACTCTGTAACATTACATTACATTACATATGTCATGACATATACCTGTGACTGATCAGTCACAGGGCCAAAAGGGACAAGACAGCCTCTAACCCAGTGTCTAACTGGCTGTTATGCAATGTTGACATGTCAACATACAGTTGTACAACTATAGTCAGCAGCTGATAATGAGCCCATCTGACAACCCCGCCCAAGAAGTTCGACGCTGTTATTACCCCTCTGAGTTGGTAAGGAAGGTCATCACAATGCCGCCACAATTTATTAAATGTTCACCACATGAGGTCATGGTAGTCCATAGGAAGTATATATCATGAACTGAACTTGCACTGTGCACCATTGCCCAGCAGTCATTGTTGATGCCAGCCGTGCCAGGGAACCCCTCATTTCAAGAGGAAATGAAGGGTTACTGGAAGGGCTTCAGAAGTACCTGCAATAATTGAAAGACAGTCTGTAGTAGCTGTCATACAATAGTGGAATGGCATTCACACCATCTTATGCATATACGTGCTAAAGGACATTCTCCACCATCTTGGATGGGGCATTTTCAGCAACCAGCGACTATGTACTTGGTTTCAAGATTTAGACCTAGAAGATTCCGTGGCAAACAACAAAAGTCAACGATTACTATTCTTTGCAAATTAGTGCATGAACTTGGCAGATGTGGTTGACTGAGAAAACCCAAAGAAACATTAGATGGCTAGGCACATGTCAGGTGGCACATGATGTGCCTTTCAGTGGTGATCTGTTGCCTGAAGGCAGGATATGGCAGGCACAGGCTGGTGTTGGCCATAAGGGCCCGAGACGGATCCCTTCAGATGGGGAGGAATGTATAATGTGTGGAACAGGGGGCCATATCTTCACCCGTGGCACCCTGTGAAACCCTGCCTTCCCCGGTATTTCGGGGAACCCTCATCTAGTCACCCTAGTCAATTTCTCAGTGCACCACCGGCATCCAACGGAACCTTCCATCAACAGCGGCTCAACTCCATTCCTGGTTAGCTTGCAAGATCACTTTATCCAAGGTCACCACCGTCCATCGACTAGGGGCACTTTACCCTCCATCATCGGAAGGATTTTCGACCCTGACAGGTCTCAATCCCGGGATCTCCTGCGGGCAATGGCTGTGCCTTACCAGTAGTGCCTAACCTGTATATGTAGGGGAGGAATGTATGCCGCAGCTGTACAGTACAGTGTGCACATTGCCTATAAACATGTGCTAAGGCACCCTGCCCAATCTTGATGAGAAGCCTTTTCAGGGCCCAGCTACTACATAGTCCATACTGCTTTGCGAAATCACACAAGATTCAAACACCTTTCAGTAACCAGTGTTTGCCTAACCTGGCAAAACCATCGGCTGTGAAATGGTATGCACCTCTCCTCCGAGGAGTCATGCATGTACACTGATGCTTTCTGCAGTGTTGCAGCCACCCACCTGGAGCTCCTCCAAAGAAATGCGACCGTTTCTGTCGTTGTCTGCATACCTTTGGATGTATGCCTGCAGATCAGCGACGCACAAAGCTTGGTATGATAACCCTTGGCAGCTTCATCCTTTGTATTTCCACAAAATTTTGCACAGGGACACAACTATAGAGTAACACAATCTGCTGGCTCCTGAGCCAAGATTCCACCGGGAGCATATCTCGGCTGCAAACCCAACCATGGAGCAGAGCCACTGTCCAGCCAGGGGTGAACTCGGAACCTACTGAAAAGCCAGGCTGTCCAAGCTGCTGTCATATCACCACTTCAGAAAAGTACCAATCGGCGGATGCAGATCCCGTGATATGCCCAGGATACGACAAATATCGAGAGTTAGATAACTAAGATAGCTAACTGTAGAGGGCGTCCTCGACCCTAGCCTATCTCAGGGTCCCTGTGTAATGTCAGCATCCACAGGATGACCAGCGGCCGCAGGGCCAGCCACTTCCCGATTGGGATAACTGCTTTAGCTCAGAGTCAAACCCAGATCGGAACGGAGACAACTGCTCGATACCAATTGTTATATCGCGACTGCAGGAAATTACCAATCGGCAGATGCAGATCTCGTAATATATTGCCCTGGATACTATAGCTGCACTCCCTAAACCATTTTTGCACATTCCTCTTCCTTAAGGAATAGTGACAATAATGGCACATACATCACCTGTACATATGCTCACGTCCCTCTCCTTACACAAGGAGGAGAGTGTTTCGGTGGTCGTCCCCAGTGGGGTGCGATTAGGTGCCCCTGGCCAGTGTCATGCCCAGATCGATATGTAACACACAGATATGCACTTCAGTGCTCTGCCAGCATCTTGAGAGGCTCTTCAGCCATCCAGCTACAACAATTAATATCGAGACCTTATATATGCTGCAAACCTTCAGTTATCAGTCCAACTCTGGTAGATTGCAAGCCCAGGTGAGCCATGATGATCCTGTGCACATCATCTGTGCTTGGGAAACCATTGTCTATGCACATGTGAGCCGGCACATGACGTCATGTGGATCAGTCACCCTCTCTGTCCCAGGGTAGGAAATGGCAGGCACATAAACACAGGCTGCTGATGTGGATGTAAGGGCCCGAGATGGATCCCTTTATTAGGGGGAGAAAGTAGTAGCTATCATACAGTATGGCACACACATATTCTGTAATTATGCACTAAAGTGCTCCGGGAGCAACTTGGGGGCTCCGCAATGATCAGCTACTACACTGCCCCCGAGCCCTGAAGACCACCGTGTGTCTCAATTACAGGGTGGTTAACTTCGCCAGCGGGGCAGTCCTGCCTGCTAGTGTGTATGCAGAAAGCCCAAAAACCCACCAGCAAGATCCGCAGCTCTTCATCGGTAATGTTTTCCTCCACCTGTTCACATATCCGACCAAGGAAGTGGTGTTGTGTGGATATGAAGGGTCGCAAGGGTGAAGATGCAGCAAGGTATACCAAATCCCTTTTAGGCTTCCAAGATCAATCGTGACATCACCATAAAAACTGACACCATCTGCAACAAGCACACCTGTAACACTATAGAGTTAGATATAATCACGCTAACAATAAGAGATCAGGATTTTTAATTTGCCAGTCGCCTGCACTAACCTTCCGGATGGCGGTACATAGCTCTTGTCCATCTAGGTAGCCACTGTGATCCATGTCAAGCACTTGGAAGGCTGCTGCCAATTGCCCGCCCTCATCCTGCACCAGCACGCCAGCAAGCCGCTGCAGCACCCGCTCAGCGCTCTGAAGTTCCTTTTCCAGAAACAAGGTTTCATTGTTCTCCAGTGCGGTGGCCACCAGTCTACACAACAGTGTAAACATGGGGTGATGAGTCCATACATATCCACAATGATACAAGCCGACAGAACCCCATTGCTCCCATATTCCTTGCTTAATGTGGCTATTCATATATTCTTGTGTACATAAGGCTTCTTTGTCAACTACTTGAGAGTTATGAGGATCTGCTGGCTTGCCAGCAGTCGTAAGCAGTAGTATTACTACAGATGAAAGATCCCTTCTTGCACATGTAGTATTCTGGGCAAGTCACGGGATCTGCACGCCGATCGATACTTTCCTGAAGTCGCGATACAACACTTTCTGCTCCCAACACCGATTCCCCTTACTACCTGGCAATGGAGGCTGCCCGCTTAACTGCGTCTGCAGACAGCAATATGCCCCTGACCAGCTCCTTAACCGACAAGCTGCTCACCCCAGAGTCCAGGGCAATCAACAGCTGAAGATGGGCCACATCCTGCCGGTGTACCTCCAAACCTACATGCGTGTATGGGCGATAGGAAGACCGTCGGTAACCTATTCATGTATAGGACCGAGAATAGACATTATTAATGGTATAGAACAATGGTCTACAGATCGTGCCATGCATGGTATAATGGATAAGCCTGAAAATAGGTGGTCTATAGGCTTTGCCCCATTTACCGACGACATGCACACATGCAGGTGTGTGTGTGTGTGCACATTACATCCCGTTGTTAAGCAGCTAAATACACTTCTGTGCGAAGTGCACTCTAGGTAACCCTTAATGTAGGTGCAGTACATGCATTTTTGAATTATCTTAGTATGAAAGGTACTGAAAGCATGGCAAACAAGTTTAGGATATGCTATATCACAATGCAGTACATCACAATACTACAGTGTGTGTTTGCACACCTACCCGGGACCACAGCATCCACAACGTCCACCAAGAGGGCTAGAGGCACTGAGTCAACACCCTCGCCAAGCAAGGCTGCTGTTACTGCTGCTTCAGAAGGCTGTGCTGCAACTGCAGAGACCGCTGCTGCTTTGACCTTCATACAAGCCGATGGCAGCAGCGCCGGCTGTAGTTTGTTGACGGCCCGCAGCAGTGCCGCCAGGTTATGTGAGGCCTTGTAGGTCTGGTAGGCCCACTCAAGCTCCTCTGCAGGTGGCCGGGGCACGAAGGGCACCAGCGAGTTCTGGAGCTCCAAAACCGACATCCGAAGATCCCTGAATGACACCGACATGTGGTAGTAGAGGGATAACAACGTTGTTACCTGTTAACGGGCAGACATCATGTGATGGCACCGAAGTGGCGGAATTGGAAATCAGCTAGAACGTGAGCATGGTTATCCTGTAGGAGGGTATAGAATACTCCATACCAAACATCGAGGGACATCACAAGGAGTTGTGTTGCACCATTCCAGCAGCTAGCCGCAGGTGGCTAGGTAGCCTACCAGAAGCGAAACCACGGACGTGTTGAGAATGCATGTGTACAGGATCACAAATAAACACCATCTCCTTCAACATCAACAAAACATAATGTTACCCACTTGTCCTTGTCACCAAAATGGAACAGGTACGCCAGCAGAAGTCGCATCTCCCTCCTACCCAGCGTCAGGTCAGGGAGGGACTGCAGCGCCTTGCATAACTCCCCTGTATGGTGGACGGTATGTACATCTTGTGAAAGCCCGAACTGTGTGACTTCCAAACTGGTCAATACTGATTACTGCCAGGCATGCAATAGCTTGATCATCGCCATACAGAAGGCTATAAAGCCACTCACCAATTTCCAGGTATCCACTACCATCTGTGTCGTACTGCTGGAAGGCTTCCACAGCACCTTGAATGTTGTCGGGCTGCACAAGTTGTTCTGCCAGGCGGCACAGCGCCAACCCAACACCCAGACCGTCCTCCTGGGCCAACTGGCATGTATGGGAGCATATGTAACAGTATGCATGAAAGGGAAAGTCAGGGTCAATAACCAAATTGGCATCTTGGCCAGAACGAACAGGACATGCATGAACAGAACAGAACATGCAAACCCTAAGTGAAAAAAGTTCAAGAACGCCAGCGTGTGTTAAGGGGATCAACGATGAAGGGTTGGGAGTCGCTATAGCTATTCGTTATTAGCATTATGTTCTCGCAGGTTAACACCAGCGGCCCCTATCCGTGTTGCCAGTCTCCTGAAACCGTCCACGGGCATGTGGTTGGTTGTTCAACCAACCCGCCGCCCTCAAGCGGACCACCTCTATTTCAGGTGCCACCAGGTGCATATTTCGGACTATGCATATAACCGTGGCATTTGGCCACTGACCAGCCGTGGCCAAACTCGGATCCAACTGATAGTACGGCAATCAAAGCTGCAACAAAGACATTTGTGTCCCAACCCAAATTCGAACTTAGACCTTGTCATCATAGATCCTCTTCCTTAATGGGGCTTTTCCAGCATCACAGTAGGCAGATGACGGGGGATTGTCATTAATCACTTTGCCCGACTCACGACATACCTGGTACCAGTCCACGCCACCGCTCTCCACCATGCGGACCATGGATGCGGCCTGCAAACACCCGACCCAGGGAGGAAAACATAGGTGACCCAGGGTGTAAGAAGGGATCAGCTCCCCTTGCATCTCCCTGAGTACTATTTGCCTGGTGTTAAATTGGTGCGAATTGCTAGGAGGTGGGAACTCCGCGGATCGAATCCGGTTGCGAACATATCACACACCAGGCTAGATGCAGCATTCTCTTACCCCTAAGGTGGATGCCCGGGTGGGCGAGAAGTCTACCAGCTGAGTAAAATCAAAAGTCCTCCATCTCGGACGGGGACTGACGAAATGTCACAATAACAAATAAATGCACAATCCTACGGGATCTCAAACAACCAAAATCCTACGGGATATGCCCAGGGGCGCCCAAGGACGTTCACTCGAGGGAGGGAGGAATGTAAGAAGGGATCAGCTCCCCTGGCATCTCCCTGAGTACTCTTTGCCTGGTGTTACACAGGGAGCGTGATACGCATGAAAGCATAGCGCACAACCTTAATATGCGTCCATCTTTAATTCTTACATCTAAAGTTTGCACGCCTGCAGGTGTCACATTTCACTCCCTTCAGGACCCAAACCCTGCCGATATTTTCACCTCTTTGTAAGCGCCCCGACAGGCCTTGATAGCGGACATGACCTGCGCCTGGTCCAGGGGCTCCTCAGACCCCAGTGTTATCATGGCCCCCAAATATATGGACTGTTGCTCAGAGCACTTCACCTCCACCGGGAGGAGCCCAGGAACCAATGTGTAAATCTGCACAGGGTAAACAAGGGGAAATAGAACGAACAATTAAGCAATGTCCCATTCATTTGCGTATGTGTTGAGTCCACATTTCAACCATTCACATAGCATATAAACGTTGTCGGCCATAAGCACACAGTACCCGTGCAACCATGGACCCTCAATATGGCCAGAGCACCACTCCCACCCACCCACCTGCTGGCTGGTGAGCTTCCCGTCCTTGTCCCTGTCTAGCCGTCGGAACTCCCTGGGCAGCAGGTTGGGCTCGGCCTACGTGCAGTGGAGGAAGGTGCAGCAGAGGGAAGCTTCCCTTAACAGGCATGCAGGGTTACACGGATCCACGGTCTGTGGTAACAGCCACTCCATGGTTGGGCTCGGGGCTTCGTACATCTGGACCTGGGAGCTGCTGCTAGCTCCAGAAGATGACGGGGATGAAGCCTGTGTGTCTTAGGGTTATAGGGTTTGGGGGTTTAAAACTTAGGGTTATAAAACCCAAAGTCAAGGTAGATCAACCCAACCGATAGGACCAGCTATCAAAGCCGCGGCACCAGTGCAGCAACCACCGATTCACGTGTACACACATACATACCCGCATCCTCGCCCTCATGAGGGTAAAAAGGTCCGTCCCAGCAGCCCCAGGGCTCGATAGCGACTGCAGGTAGGCCGCAACCTCCGCCCGGTACTCCTCTGTCAGCGCCTGCACCAACGATGGCAATCACACATATTTGCAGCCAAATGTTGTATCACGACCACAACTGCTACAGAAAAGTACCGACCGGTGGATGCGGATCCCCTAATACCCCCAAAATACAACATTTTCCCCCTCTAGCAATAGAGGGCATCCTCGACCTTAGGGCCGATCTCAGGCAGAACCCACAGGATAACCAGCGCTCATGGGCCCGTCACCTCCCGCTCAGAGCAATCTGCTTTATATGAGATTCAAACCCAGGTCAAATATCTGCTCGATACCAGTTATCACGACTAGAACTGCTACAGGAAAGTTACCGATCGGTGGATGCACATTCCGTGATGTGCCCAGGATACAACACCAAATAGCCCCCACTGCTGTCACTTCGAAGCCAGCAAGCGCTTATGCCTGTGTTAATAAGGACAATGCCGACGCTAAAACACAGCACACGTACACAAATGTGCCTTGAAAACAACTTTGATGACAATAAAAGGCAGAAGTCTGCAATGGGGCGCCTTACACACCGAGCCAGGGAAACCCCAGCATCAATCAGGGGGATCAGCGGGTCGGTGATAAGTAAGGGCATGCAAACGTGCTCTGCTGCATCTTAAGAGGCCTTTTCAGCGGACAGCTCCTATGACAAAAAATGCTAACAATAAGAAAGTATAAAAACCAGGCTAACGTGCGGTCTTTCCCAAACATTTGCTGGGACCGTATACACAGCGTTCCAAAGCCTTACATCAATTCTAAGCCTGCACCGCAGCCCGAGCAAGCGGATGGGTTGGGAGGAAGATCATATTAACCATGAAATGCATGCCCGAATTCGAGTGCCGATACTCTGAAGGCCTCGGTAGAACCCTCTTGTCTTGCAAACATATTGCAGGCGGCTGGCAGAGGTTAAGGCCTGACTTCTGCTCCCGGAGTGTCCGGGTTCAAATCCGCCTGCCAACTTCTCGGGTGTATGAGAAGTGTGGAAATGGGAGGTGGCAACCCATCTTATGGCCGGTGTAGGACGTGAAAATATCGAAGTTGAGGTGCCGTTGATCCGCTAAATTTGGTTGGATGCTGATGGTGAGTTGCTGAACCCAACGAATACATTCTGAAGTCGGATGGGGTGAACGGATTAGGGTGCCCCTCTAGCAGGGGAGAGCAGGGAACTGCCTCGGGAAAGGGGGCCGCTGGTGAAGCTATACCACCCTATAATAACATCGTATTGCGACCCTCACCTGCAGCCGCTCCAGATCCGGTTCCTGGTTAGTCTGCATCAGGGCTTCGGTGGCGGCTGTGTCAACAGGCGCCATCAGCCCCCCACCGCCAGTTTCCTCCTCCAACTGCGGCTGGGTGGTAGCAGCTGGTGGCGGCACGGCTGGCACCCCCTGGAGCTGAGGTGAGGATATCGGTGGCGACTTGAAGTAGGCTTGAGGGGGGAAGGGCTGTGATAGGTACTTGTCCGTCAGGAAGTGCCTTTTGAGCGGAACAGCGAGATGATGCACGGATGGACGCACGTGGAGTTGCAGGCACATGTGTCAGCATGTAGACATGCACACGGCCCTTGTCAGGTTGGTTGCATGTACGATTATACTCATAGGAAATCGTTCATGAAAGAGCAGCTGGTGCAGGAAAGAAACATCCACACTGGCTAGCTGGTCATCATACAGCCAGGGACATCCACCATCTCTTTCCATTTTCTGTCACCTGATAGTGAAGGTGCAGAAGCCAGTGGAGCCTCTGAGACGATGATTAGGAACACGATGATCTAATTCATATGGAATGGGCGAATTATTGAACACTTGTACCGACATATCACCAACGAACAGATTGCAAAGCGATTACCATGTTGCCACAGAAGAATTAACGCACAAACTCATGCCCTTAGTACAAGACGCAGTAGTGCAAGGACACTCAAGCAAAGGCAGCAGTATGACCTGATAAAGGGCGCCGTGCTGGAAGGCCAACAGGCACGGGGCTGCTCTGGAAGCCCGGGGAAGTGGTACAGCCAGGAAGAGACTGCCAGCACCGGCTGCTGCTGCTGCTGCTGCTGGCCCGCGGTAGCTGCTGGTGAGGCGACCTCCGCGGCCGCAGCCGTTGTGGACATGTCACCCCGGACGGGCGCTCCTGGGGCCGGGCTGACCAGGACATCGATGCAACGCAGCCCCCAGCCGGGCCGCAAACTCGGGGAGTCATGTCGTACATGCAGCGCCACCAGGTCCTGCAGCGGCCTGTGCATGGGTTTCATGATTGACAAGTAGCAGCAGGCAGCACGGCATGCATGGACTGGAAAAGTAACGCTGGATAGTTCAAATGCATAACCCATGCATTTTTGTTGTTGTTGTTACACGGTCGTGGGTGCGTTCCCCGTACCTGCAAACCACCCTAGTACGAGCCGAGGGCTCAAGGGCTGCCAAATCGCCTATAAGCACCATCCTACCTCGCACTTCCAACGAAACAAGTGATGAAGTATACTAACGACCAAAGGGAACGATAGAGTTGCGGTGGGACCATATGCGTTCCAGCATCCTTGCCAGGCGTTCAGGTTCCCACTTCATAGCGTCCTTCATATGCTCATAACCCATGCATTTAACTTTATCACTGCTAAGTGGCCTACAGGACATCGAAGGCACTGCAGCGGCTTATGCATGAGGGAAGGAGATACTGCTCCTGGAACGTATTCCATACTGGGCAAGGACAGTGCGACCTCAACGTCTGCCCTAGGAAGTGTTCATATCCGGATTCGATCAGGGAATTTTCCAACCTCCTAGCAATTTGCGCCAATTTAACACCAGACAAAGAGTACTCGCGGGAGATGCCAAAGCCTCCCTACAATTACTATTTATGCACAGAAAAGCGTGGGTGTAGAAGATAAACACATCCATGACCCGATGTCACCTCCAACTCTCATGTTTCGATTCACATGGTGGGCCCGCTCTCATTGCACCCACCTGCTCACAAATGACACTGCACAGCACCCCGCTGGCAGCAGGTGTACCGCCTGAGTACCTCCTGCCGCACCTTCGGGGGTGTCCGGAGATACGCCCACCCACTGGCCCCGGGACCCGGCGAAGAACTCCCAGGGGTCGTCCATGGCCGTGGACGGATCCCTAATAGTCACAGACTGCGGCAAGAACGACGACGAGGGCGGGAATACAGGAACACATGCACGTGCCAACAAGTGGTTCCCTCTCATGGAAATAGGCGGAGGGCCAGTTGGCTTACTTGAGTCCGTCAGGAAGACCTTTCAGTTGCTGCTCCACTTGGAGAAGCCAACTCCTGATATTACTTCTGATTATTATGCTGAACAGAATAGAACAGAACACGGCGAACTAACCCGGACGAGAAAGACATTTAGGGTTGCGGATGCAGCGGATTAGGTAGGAGCCCGAAGACGAGGTCCGGGTTGCGGGCTGTTGCCCGGCTGTAGGCTGACTGCACCTACCTCCAACAAAATACCCCAGTCGGGGGAAGCAGTGCCCGGTAGCCGTACATCCACCCGCAGCAGCCGGGATCCCAGAGGGGTGTCAGATGTCACCTGCAGTCACACCACCCAACACACCACCACCACCGAGCACAGAAGGAAGAAACTAACTGCCGGTGGCTACAGACCTGCTAGGTGGACACGCGCCAGTTGGGCAGATGGGAAAGCAGATGCCAGCTATTTGAATGTGAAGGTAAGTGCAGGCCATGCAAAGCCACACGTGAAGGGCCACTAACGCCTTCAGTCTTGCAGTGACTGTTGCCGAAGACAGACCTCAAACCCTACATTCAGCGGTCCAAACACACCAGCTCTCTACACGCAGCAGCAGCCGAGGCCGACATCCTCGTGGAGCCCCTTAACCGTTACTTAGGGGAGGTGCTCCACATCTTGCGCAGCTAGCTCGATCACCAAGCAGAAGCACCGTCACCAACCTCGCTACTCACCCAGACACCCCGAGCAGCAGCACTACCACGGTCACCACCACCACCACGACCACCACAACGGCCGCCCCGCACCCTCCGGATTCCGGGCGCCTTACACCCACCGACCCGCCAAACCTGAAACACGTCATCAGCCTGAGATGTGAACGGATTGATCCACGGAGTGGTGCAATTGTCAGCTCCCAGAAGAATGGGCCTGCAGCAGCCAATAGCAGCTAGGCGAGTGAATGACCTAGCCGGTTAGTGAGGCAGGATACACCTCATCAACTTTGCATAGGAGAAGTGCGACATACAACACACGCATGGGGGGATGACCGGCAGCCTACACCTCCTAGGCAGTGCAGGTGCACCCCACCCACGGACACCTCACCTGCAACTGTCCAATGAGCCATGCAGCACAACCGCCAGCTGCCTGGCACCCAGCCCCCCCTGCAGCACTATGTTGGCGCGGGGCTGGAAGACGGCCAGCTTCTTGAGCACCACCTGGTATGTACGGCGAGCCTAGTGGGGATGGGAGAGGTAAGTGTTCCAGCCAGAAGTGGGATGTAGAGAAGGAGACTTACTTGCCAAACACGTAATGAAACGTTTTTGTGTTACAAGAAGCCTCAGGTCAGAGCGTTGTGTAAGCCTTGCCAAGGTGACACCAGGGATTCAAAAGAGTAGGTAGTGCTAGTGGACAAAGCAAAAGCACGGGAAGCACTAGCACAAACTGAACCAAGCTCAAGATTCGGACAAACGTAGAGTCGTTATGGATGCGCGACACGCAGCTGAGAAAGAAAGGGGTTACGTGTAACACCACTTAATGTCCGGCCAGCGCCGTACACCACTTACAGACAGTACGGTCCAAAGATACAGGTAAGCTGGTACACAGGAGCAGATGGCTAGATGATGCAACCCTGCTTGGCGGAACACTTACCGCGGCTCCAGTAGGAGGCGGCGGGGCTGCATCCCCATCCTCGAGGCCGCGTTGAGCCTCTCCTCGAGAGATCGTCTGGATGTGCCGTACGTACTGCATATCCAGCTCCAAGTCCATATCTGCTCGGCCGCTGTCCAAAATGACAACCTCGGAAAACTGGAAACCACCCTGAAATGTACGACAATGCACACCCAAACCCACATTAGCCAAAGCAAGCTAAATCGGTCGGGGCTATGTGTCCACACAAATGCGAAGGGGTCCGTCGAAGCCGGGGACCCCATGGGCCGATCATGGAACTTAATGTTACGCTGTCGGGGGCGACTATCGTCGTCCTCCCGCCCCCGTTTGAGCGTGAAGCACCGGAGCGCTGCGTGCCTAGTTTCCCAGACCTCGGAGAGAAAACTAGCTATGCCAGTGGAGAGCCTTGAAACCCGAGTTTGCTCCCGTACTTTGCACTCAAGCAGTCATAAGCAGTGCATTTCCCAAACACATGCAGTTCATCTCCATATCTTCATTTGTACTTGGGGTCGCAGTGAGGGCAGCAGCTGGCGGCAGTCGGCAGGTGCGACATTCGGATAGTCCTGGATAGTTGCAAGATAATGCAATCCCAACTAGCAGGATTTCCCAAGGCGATTTAGCCAGCCACGCTCGTGCCTGCCTGTGTTCAGTCTGAGGAAATCTAGCTGGCGTCATCCACACGCACATGTGTGTCATGCATTTCATAAGCGCTGTAAACACACAGGCGTTCATGTCGAGCAATTCACAAACACCATACATGAGCACGCCCTGCAAGCGTCACACGTGAAGAGCGTGTTATGACCAATTGTATCAAATAAGTGCATGTGCACTGCGTTGCACGTGCTTGCGTGTATGTGTGTCCGCCCACTCACATTCCTTCCTGCCCCGGGCCCCCCACTCGGGCCAGCACTCACCCCGTCGCCAGACACCTGCTGCTGCTGCCCCACCAGCTGCAGGGCCTCCGCAGTGTGGCTCAGCTCCCCCCGCGGGCTCTCCGTGTGAAAGATGACGTGGTAGCGGAGAAGAGGTGTCCCATTCTGGATAAAGGGCCAGTGAACACCAAAGGTTGTAGCGGGCGAGAAAGCCATTTCCATACAGGCAGGCAGACAAGTAATAAAAATTCAGCCAACATCTTTAAACGTCTTAAGAGACCTGCAGCCATACGTGATACAGAATAGTATCGCTCTTCAGGTGTTTTAGGGTCTAGGAGTAGTCAGGCGCTTACCTTCACCGCCGCAAGGACATGTGTGGGGTACAGCACACGCTCCAATACCTGCAATCAGGAAGGGCCAGAAAGGAAACAGTAGAGACACATGTATGTGGACCGAGCGGTGTTATGCAAAAGGTAAACAAATGCAGAACTTCCTTTCGGTCGTCAGTCCGCCTACTGCCTACCATCGCACTGGTCACAAGGTGCAGCAGGATGGCTACCACCCCCTCAGTGGCTCTGTAGCGCCAACAGCACACTAAGGTACGCACCGTACTCACCCGATCCGGTCCGAAGCGGCCCTCAGGCTGACCTCCGTCCTGCATTCCATCCACAAGCCATGTGGATGTACATGTAGTGGGGCAGGAGAACCTGATCAGTGTCCAGGCAGGCCGGTAGAACAGCTTCCCAGAAACCCAAAACGCACATACATACATGCACACGTACATGCACAAATGCTGTACAAGCTAATCTCATTCACACACCAAGAAAGCTCCACACACTGCACGGTACCCACTCGGCGGTTGGCGCCCAGACCTATCCACTGCTTGCACACAAAGACGCTGGTGCGCCCGGTGCCGGTGTGGGTGATCTCCACGCGGTCCAGATGCCAGTTGGGAGAGTCCCCTGCAGAACATGGCGGCGGGGGCGGCAGGTGCTTGCCATCGCGTGTAATAAGGCCGGGGCCGCCAACGGCAGGCCAGCAAGAGGAGCAGCACACCTACTTTGTTTTCCGCTCGTCCAGGTCGACCTGAAAACCCCCATCCAAACCCCTAAAAGCCCTAAAAGCCCTAAAACCCCTAAAAGCCCTAGTCAGCTCTTCACCTGAGTCATCGTGCGAGATGCACACACTGCCCAGGTCACCCAGCCCGGGATCCGGGAAGAAAAATACGTCCTGGCGGGAAATGAGGGATAGACTCCGAGTAAGGTTACATGGGGGGTAGGAGAACTTAGTACCTTGGGGGGTGCTTCCACTTAGAATTAACGTCACGGATTAGGGCACGGAAGTCCTTGGAAGGAGCTTACCACATCGTTTCGCTCCATATGGGGGCCAAAGGCTATGAAGGCGAGGTAACTTTGCCAACAACTAAGCCGTTTGCGCAGGCATCAATGGAAAACAGGGGGTTGATCCGCGACGTTTATCCTCTTGAGTGGAAACGACCCCTTCGTATCTGTTTGGTAAAAGCATAGCTTGAAGTGGAAGCCGAGGTTCGGCTTGCAAAGCGGTTGTGTCTGCGGGGTCGGTACGAGGTCGGTTGGCATATTCCTCCTGTCCCCTCCAGGGTAGTCCACTTCGCGGGCCTTATGTCAGATCTGACGACGCCGTGTCAGCTGCACCGAGCTACGCCGGTCCCTGGTCCGCATCTAACCTTGACCATAACTCGCACCTATCTTCATGCAAAAGGCCATCGTCTTCATGTCGGCAGGACCCTTCAAGCGGTGTCCCCGGCGGACGCAATGCGGGAAACCCAGGTCAGGACCACGATAGGGAAACGCGGTTGCCAGGCAAAACGAGGCGAAACTCGACTTCGCTCCGGATTAAAAAGGGGGCGGTATAAAGCGACAAATGAAGCTTTCGAGCGTACAGAAGAATGGCTGCCAGATCATAAGCGGTTTAGTTTTGTGCAGTCTAAGAGCCGTGACACAATTGAACCCCGGTACCCGCAGCAATACTAGGCTGGTTCACCCTTTGCCACTCCAGCTCATGCAAATCCACATTCGCAAGTTAAGGGGTGTAAGAGGTGGTTACTTAAGCCACCACATGTAACATGATAACTTCCGTTTGGGTGGGCATATTCCTTTCTGTCATTCGCCGTCGTTTCACAGGAGACCTTCCTCGCTTGAGTTCATTCATTCATTCATTCACTCGTGCGTGCACCCATAGAAATTTCACGTGTGGTGTAACCGGGTGGTCAGCAACTCAGCCGGAGGAGGACGAGGGTTGCATCAGTAGGCAGTAGCACATTCAGCGACCCCCCCGCGGAGGTTCCTCTTCGATCTGCTTGTGTTCACAGTACGATGTAGGTTAGCACGATAGGCACCTACCAGTCACTATGGATGCGAATGTAAGCAAGAACGGGCAGGCGAGGTTTAATAGCAGGTGAGCGTCATCATCACAAAGAATGACACCGCCATGACTACCACCACTATCACGAGCCCACCTCGGCCGCTCACCTCACAGCCCTCATTGAAGCTGTCCCCCGTTGCATCCCGCAGGTACAGGTCCAGCAGTTTACCCCGGGCGCCGAACAGGTCGATGTACACTCGGGCATCAGTGCTGGCCTGAAGGAAGGGAGAGTCGCCGGCGGCAGGGGACGGGGGTAGGAAGGAGGAGACCGACAGAGGGAGTGTGGTAGCTGGCCACTGAAAAGGCCTCGCGAGAGGCTGGTGGAGCGCTTAGCGCGTATTTGTAGACGTTATGTGTGCCGTACTGTGTACGAGCTACTACAGGGAGGGCCACCTTGAGAGAGGCCGGGCCGTGGGGATAGGGGCGGCATGGCAACAGCCCCTGCAACCGGGCAGGCTCAGCGCAGTACAGGGCGTCCATTGACCTGTGTGTTGGGGGGGGAGGGGAGAACTAACATCCTTGCAAACAGGCACCACGACCATAAGAGTTGAAACGCGGTCATATTCTCCTCCTGTGTTCACCTCCTGCCTAATTGCTAATGGCTCGTGAGTCTCCCGGTGGTGTGAGTACGCCACCGACCTTCTTACCCGTCCACTCACCTCGGGTATCGCGCTGGTGAAGGTGGATATGCGGAAGTACGGCTGTGTGGCGGCCCGCAGCACCAGCCGACTGGGCCCCGCGGTGTCTGCTGCCTCGGAGGGGTCCAGGGCTGGAGGAAGGAAAAGGAAGTGCTTTGCGTCTACTAGCCGCACCACCTGCCGCACGGGGAACAGCAAAAAGGATCCACGTGAAAGAAGTGTAGCCGGGCTCGGGTGCGGCTTCGTTCACCACGGAGTACCAGTGCAGAGCAAAGTCCCGACACACCTCGACAAACTGCAGACGAGTACCCAGCAAGCCTTGCTGCCTGTGAAACAGATACAGGGCACCGACACATATGCGGGTTAGGGGGCCGTACACAGCTGACGGACGGACGGAGACATCAGGGAAGAGATTACGGATCCCTCCAAACACCTGAACGACGCTGCACCTTAACGGTACATGCACAATCCTTCAGACCCACAGAGGTGCGGCAGTGCAGAATGGGTGCCCAGGGCACATTCCAGGGTGCATGGAACCCACCTACCCCTCCACTGCTCCGGAATGACAATGGTTAACTTGTGACCATTCCTGGCCGCACCCACGATCTCCTCTTCACTGCCCCCATGGCGCCAAGATAGCCACAGGGCCTTTCCAGCTGCCCTTACCACCAAGGGGGCCATCAAGTTGCCCCCTAAGCACCCCGTCCTCCCGCCTCTGGCTCCATGCAGCCCCCCTCCCTGTTGCCTCACTTGCAGCTGAGCTCCACGGACTGCAGCTCCCCCAGCGGCAGGGGGCTCTCCAGCAGCCGGCTCTCGTGGGGCCCATCAATGGAGCGGCCCGGGAGGGTCAGCGGGGCGTACTGGTAGCCACCGCCGTCCATACCCACCAGCACCATCTGAGGGAAACAAACATAATAACACGAGGGCGTGTGAGGGACGAGTAGGTTAGGCCGATCTACAGTCATGTGCGAGTAAGGACATGCAAGGGACTTGGCCAGCATCATACACCTGCTTATACCTGCAGGTCGCCATCGATGCCCATTCCCACACCCTTTCCTGAGCTGATGATGTGAAACACCACCTGCAGGGGTGGGGTGGGGGAAGCAGCGGGGGTTTGAGGCCAGATGTTACCGAGGAAAACAAATCCGGACACCCAGAAGGAGCAGGGCGGCTAAGCAGCATTTGGCACTGGCCCAGGAAGTGCGCCCCTCCCTACTGTCAACCTCTACAACCACCAGTTCAACAGCTTCACAGCCATTCAACCACCGCTACCCCTAACCACTTCCACACCTTGAGCTGTGTGGGGGATGTAACCCGGGGCAGCACCAGCTCCAGCTGGGCGGGGGGCAACCTGTTGACGGCCCCCGGAGTCCTCTGCCCTGCTGCCCCCGCCGCCTGCTTCCTGGCCAGCTCCAGGAACCAGCCACCCGCAACGAAGTACCAGGTGCGACCCGTCTCCTCACTGAACACACGCGGACATGGAGAACGGGAGTAGGTTGAACTTAGACCCTTCCGACAGGGCTCAATAATACCGATAAGGCGGTAAGGGGTCCAGCAAGTGAGGCGGGGTCGGGACTTGGGGATCGGTCTCATCAGGAGCCTCGGGGAAGTGCTTTCGATGTTGGTGTGGTGGCCGTCCGGGAGCTGATCGATATATCCCGTAACGTTGCAACACGCCTCCGTACAGCCTATTGGCCGCTGTCTATATGCTGTCGTATAGTGGCGACGTCGCCATGTCCCTTCCCCGTATGACTGGAATCAATACTGCACCCACCCGCACCCACCAGGACACCTCCACATGTTGTATACTCCAGTCACTGGCTCCCCCCACTGCCCCGCCCGCCCCCAGCAGGCCGGCGGGCGCGGGGCAGTGCTGCAGCACCACACCCTCCACCTCATCCATCCAGGGCAGACTCAGCGGCTCCAACACGGAGTACTTGTCACCTCTGGCGGGCCAGGTGGCCAGGTGCGCAACGGCAGGGCGGGAGGGAGGGAGGGTGCACAGCGGGTGTGTGGTGGGCTCTGGGATCCGATTACGTACAGGTAAGCTATGTATGGTATGACACGTGCATTGATATCCAGCGGTACCCCCGGGCGGTGTGTTCAGACGGGGTCACCGGACGTCACCAAGCGACTAATAACCAGCTGGAGCTGCCACCGCCCAATGTTGGAAGTACAGTACAGCTGGATTACCAAATATGCACATACGTACAGACTGACTTTTCGCGGCTCGAGGCATGTCGCAACCGGGTTGCAACTGGCACGTCCACAACCACCCTGGGTTACATAGCAGGACCGTAACCCATGTCGCTGCCAAACCCACTCTTTGAGGACAGTGCCGTCCGGGTTGATGCACACGAGGCTGCTCTTGACGGCGGTAGAGTTCGCTCCCGTCCCCTGCCTGCCCTGCAGTCGCATGAACACCTTGCCGCGGGTGCCGCCGTTCTTCTCGGGCCCCGTGAAGACACTGATCCGGTAGCTGGCAGTGCTGCTAGCGCGAGATACCTGGTTCGGGGGGAGGTGGGGGAGGTGGGGGAGGTGGGGAAAGGGGCAGCGGACAGAGGGGAGCCGGTCGGAGATTGTCAGGTGTCCTTAACCGTGGCCGTACCTCCTGCGGCCCTGGCAAGAACCCTCCATGGCTCAGTGGCTCAGTGGGATCCCCTCCCAAGCACACCCATCCGCCACCCGCCCATCTCCCTCGGGTATCTTGTTTCCTCGTAACCCCTCTCCTTCAGCACTACCTCTGCAGGCACCGAGTGTGCAGGGGCCATGTACATGACGGCTCCTCCCGCCTCGGTGACGAACGACACTTTGACGTCCCCTCCCGAGCAGTCCGCGACCTGAGGGGCATACGACGGAAAAGCCAAGGAACCAGGATGAGGTCGACATGGGTTCGGATGGAAGCTGGGGCCCGTACGCCCCCCCCTGGCCTCCAGTGCAGCCCACGACAAGGTCAGTCCACTCCAAACCTAGCGAGGCCAAAAGGCTTTCATCCTGCCCTGCTGGGCTTTTACCTTCTGCCCCAACAACACCCTACGACTTCATGTGACCTAAGCCGCGTGTTCCCACATACAACTTACATCTCAACTCGCAGCCGCAGCCCTGCCATACGGACTGACCAGGCAGTGCAGTTGACGACGAGCTACCCCTGGCCGTGCCCCCGACGCCGCGAGATATTGGAAAAGGTATCCAATCGCACCCAAGCCCCCGAGCCCCAACCCGTGCGCCCGGCTGTCTTCCTCCCCTAGACCCCCCTGACGCCCCCGAGCCCCACACCTCCGCACCTCGTTGTTCTCCCTGCTCGCCGCTCTCTCCAGTGCGGCCGTCAAGGCCTTATCCACGAGCGGGCCGCACAGCAGGCAGGGGTCCAGCCACACGGCCCGACAGCCGCCACTGAAGTCGGTCTCCACGACCAGCTGCAACTGCCTGCAACCGGGAACCAGACAAGCAAAGGTGTCAAGTTAACGAAATAGGCCAATGCGAAATCGGTCATTACCCGAAAGCACATAAAAAAAGGGGTTCAATGGTTGAGGTGCGGTGGGTTGTCAGGTTGGTTCGGGATCTCGGCTGAGTACTCCTCAAGGGGATCATCAAGGCGGCGGCGGCGGCGGCGGCACGTTAAGCCGGGGCACAGAGAGGTCCCTTTGCTTGTGGAGATTGTGCATATGGTGTAGGTTAGGTGGCGCACGACGTGGTTTCATTGCCTGTCGGCTTCCTGCAACCCGGCGTATGTTCGGGCCTGTGCTGTGGCGCGTGTCCTGCAACCCCCCAAGGTGTGCACCTCGCACCCCACTTGCCTGCACCCCAGCAGGGGCACACAGCAGCGGTGCACCTCCCCAGCCGCCCGGACCCATTTCGCCCACACCAGGCCCCCGTCTCGAACCACGCTGAACCGCACAGGGGCAGGAGGGGTGCCTGCACGCGGGGTGAAGGGCCACACCAGCGATGTACGAAAGCAGACCGACAGGCTGGGCCGTACCTAGTTAGTCACCTACCGTGTCCACAGGAGTAGTGCCAACGCCCTCAGTTAGCGAGGCACATCATCCGCTAATGATACCAGTCAACCTCACTACAGTCATCGTACTGTTTGCTGCCATGGAAACAGACCACCAGGCCAACAAAGGCGGGCCACCAGGCGGATGGACGCTAGTCAGCAGCTACTGACGTTACCCAAGAGAGATACGCCAACAGCCCCAAGGCGGAACTCCGCTGTGCTGCTCCTCCACCCACATCACGCCCAGAAGCTCACTCACTACCACCCACCCATCATCACTCATCCACCAATTTGCACACAAATCATCACACAAACCATCAGCACCTCCAAGAAGGGCCCCTCTGGTAGTACATTCAAGTTCACACCGCATCCACCCACCTGAGCTGTCATCCAGGGCCACATAGCCGTCCAGCCACAGGTACTTCCCGTCCCCCAGCTGCTCCGCAGCTGCCTCCAAAGAGTAGCTCAGAACCACACACTCCCGGGCGCCCGGGAACGGACCACCGCCCAGAGGGTCCTCGAATGGGGCGGTGCTTGCAGCGGTGGCGGCGGTGCTGGCGGCAGACGGCCCAGGGGCAGCACCGCTGGTTCCCTTGCCGTACATGGCTGGTTGGAGGCGTTTGGAGTTGGTGTCCTCGGGATCCCCCGCTTTGAATCCCCCTCGCGCCATAACGGCAATTGAATGGCCGCAACATTCCCCCCGTACTCGCACCTGCAGACAGGAAGGGCCAGGTCGTGCTAGTTAGTACGATAAATGCACATGAACACAGACCTGGCAAGGAAAGCCACAGCCGCAGCTACAGTCGCAGCTACAGCCACAAGCATAGCCACAGCCGCAGGCTGCTAGCCCAGCCCGGTCTCGTCCCGGCATCCAGTGACACCCGGCGGTGTGCAGTAGGCTACTCTGTGCACCCGGGGGTCTGCCCCCCCGTCCGCGATAGCATGAAGCACTCTCCATGCAGCTTGCATCACATAGCCATCAACTGCGGAGGCCGCTGGCACCCCTCGCAGTGGGGAAGGCGACCCGGCTGCATGCCGGCATGTAGCGAACAGCTCGGCAGGGAGTCAAAGCAGTCAAAGGCCACTCCCCATCTCGGAATGTCAAACCCTAACATGACCAAGGGGCGCCGTCCATGGCTACATACATAAGGCCCAGACGCAGTTTTGTGTGGTGGTTGGCAAGCACTCATCCACGAGCCCTCCCCCCTCTCCACCCCGCCCGAGTCCCCGACCTCTTGTCCAGGCACAGCGCCCAGCTGGCCCCCGAAGCCCAGCTCGTAGGTGCTTCTCACTCGCACGGCTCGGAACACGGTGGGGCTTTTCAAGCAGTCCAGGAAGCGCACCCGGACACGGGGCACTGACAGCGGGGGAACACCCGACAGCTGGGCCCACTCCCCCGAGGCCAACTGAGGGGTTCCAGAGCTGGGGCGGGGGCTGGGGCGGGGGGAGGGCCATGTCCACTCCTTCAGCTGCGGATTCGGAACCGCACCTGCAAACCGGGTGGATGAATACCGGTGTATGCCTTGCGACAGAAGACGCCCCAGGCGGAGCACCCGAGGATGTGCACAAAGGCGCATGCGGGGGCAGCTCCAGGGGGGAGGGTCAGCAGCTGCGGCCCCACTGCTTAGAGTAACATGGCGGATAGAGATGGGCCCCGGGCCCGCACCACCCCCTTCCGAACGATGTGAAGGGTCCAGGCAGCCACCCGGCAGTCATGTAGGGGCAAGCGGACACAACCTTGCAAATATCCCTACAACTACACCTGCACCTGCCAATGATGGCGGCCACTTGCAGCTGCATGCATGTGCCGCACACCCTGCAGGTACGTCTCATGAGGGCCCCCCCCCCCGACACCCCTTACCTGGCAATGCGGGCAGTGGGCTCCGGGGCGGGGTCCTCCAGCTGACTTCCCCCAGGTTGCGATTCAGGTACACTACACAACCAGGCGCTCCAGAGGAGTCGCCAGCCTGCTCGTACGGCAGGGCGGAAATGCGGGTTTCGGAGCGGAGAACCAACGAATAGGATCGTGATTCAAGGGCACGTGAGGTTCGAGAAGACCTAGCAAAGGGTGTGTACAAGCGGGGAGCTTTATCGGAACCACCGGGTGGCCATTTGGTGAGAGGGGTCCCAAGCCAGCTCCGCAGCATCAACTGGAGGTTAGCAGCGGGGCTGCCTCGCAGAGCAGAGACCCGCTTTGCCTCTGCAGCGCTCTCTCCCTGTCCAACCACAACTCCACTGCAGTGAGTTCACTGCCCTGCACAGGCAGCTCCTCTGATGGCGGCACCGCAGAACTCCCTCCGTGGCGGCCCTGACGCCCTCTGGCACGCCCTCAGGCACGCCTCTCAGGCACAGGCGGAGGTGTTCTAAGCATAAGCCGGGACGCCAATAACAGCCCACGGCGAATAAGTCAAAGGAGCAGGGCACTTCACAATCTCCCCACCTGCCCCATGTCCCACTCCTCCCAGGCGACTGGGTCGGGTCTGAGGGGCCCCAGCGGCTCCCCAGGTCGCAGCCAGCGCCGCACCGTCACCTCCCACAGCAGGGGCGGGTCACTGCTGCTGCACATCACCTCCACCTTGTCCAGGTAGCAGGGGGCTGGGAGGAAGGGGGAAGAAGGGGAGCAGCAGATTGCCGGAAATGAAACGTGCATGTGCAGCGCACCAAAGGACCAAAGGCTTTCCCTTGTTGCCCAGGAAAAGGAGCAGCTGCGTTTGGACTCAATGTTGGGGTTCTGTGTCCCCTGCACCTGCAGATCCTTCATAGTCCCCACCGCCCCCCAGCAGAGGGATACGCTCCACCCAGCTCCCCATGCCACCCACCTGCGGCGCTGCTACCAGTCCTGGTACCGCTGCTGGTCTTCAACATGACAGAGTCCACATCACCCAGCTGAGCACCCGGCGCCAGTACGACCTTGTACGACAGTACACGCGCGGGGACTAATAGCGGCGGCACCTGGGGCGGGGTGGAAGTCTGGAGACGTCGGGCGAGGGCCAGGAGAGGAAAACACGTATTGCGATGAAGTAATATCCGCTGTGGGGACTGCGTGTGCGAGGGGGCCCGTTGTAGGGTTTTGTGGACGAGACAGAAAATGGGCGGGATTTAGCCCCATAGGCATCCCGCAGCACAGACCCCCGAAACGGACCATCAACTGGTCAAACCCCCCACGCCACATTCACTTAACCCCCCAGGTTCACACGCACCTGGACGAGCTGTTGTTGTCCAGCAGGCGGCTGGCGGGGCTCCGAAACTGGTTTACCCCTGGTCACCTCGCGCACCTCCGGCCCCTCACCCGGTTGCGGTGCTTCAGGTGGCGGTACCTCCAATGCTGCTGTAGCCGTAGCAGCTGCAGCGGTTGGAGCAGTAGCGGCAATAACACCAGTGACAGCTGCAGGGAGCTCCACCGGCCCTGCGGCACGAATCGCCGCCACCCCTGCAACCGGTGGTGCAACTGAGGGTGCAGCCACCGCTGCCACCGCCGCCGCCGCATCAGCAGGCGGCTTCTCGGGTGCCTGTGCCACCACCGCCGCCGGTACATCAGCTAATGCTGCTGAAGATGACTCACCCACGACAGGAGGAGCCGCATCTGCCGCATCAGCAGACGCTACATCCACCGGAGCAGTAGCAGCCGCTGCAGCAGGAGCTGCAGCAGCAGGGAGGTCGCTGCCTGCCACGGAGCCTTTCACATCGGATGGCTCCAGCACACCGCCCGGAAGTGGCGACCTGGGAGTAACGTCCTTCTGCGGGGGCGGGGACGGAAGCGGCTCCGGCCCTGGGGCCCCCGCCTCCGCCACCTCGGCGGCCGCAGGCGGCTGCTGAGGCAACCCCGCCTGCGTGGTGCCCGGCTGCTGAGGCAACCCCGCCTGCGTGGTGCCCGGCTGCTGAGGCAACCCCGCCTGCGTGGTGCCCGGCTGCTGAGGCAACCCCGCCTGCGTGGTGCCCGGCTGCTGAGGCAACCCCGCCTGCGTGGTGCCCGGCTGCTGAGGCAACCCCGCCTGCGTGGTGCCCGGCTGCTGAGGCAACCCCGCCTGCGTGGTGCCCGGCTGCTGAGGCAACCCCGCCTGCGTGGTGCCCGGCTGCTGAGGCAACCCCGCCTGCGTGGTGCCCGGCTGCTGAGGCAACCCCGCCTGCGTGGTGCCCGGCTGCTGAGGCAACCCCGCCTGCGTGGTGCCCGGCTGCTGAGGCAACCCCGCCTGCGTGGTGCCCGGCTGCTGAGGCAACCCCGCCTGCGTGGTGCCCGGCTGCTGAGGCAACCCCGCCTGCGTGGTGCCCGGCTGCTGAGGCAACCCCGCCTGCGTGGTGCCCGGCTGCTGAGGCGTGTCGGCCACAGGCGCGGGCTGCTGAACTGCTGCAGGCGCTACGGGTGAAGATGTTGCACCGAGCACAGCTGCCTGCGGGTCGGCCAGCGGCCCAGCTGCGGGCACTGGCGGCCTGTGGGAAGCCGGCTGGTCTTTCCCTGGAGCGAGAGAGGAGTCCCCGCCGTCCCTTGGCGTCTCCACCGCCTGCTGCTGCTGAGGCTGCGGCTGCTGCGGCAGCTGAGTGGCAAGGGGCCCCTCGGGCTGCTCTGCGACATGCGGCCCACCCCCCAGTGCAGCGGCATCAGGGGCCCCCGGGCCCCCCTCAACCTCCACCGCCTCCACCACAGGCCCCGCGCCTTGGCCGGCCGGGCGACCCGCAGGCGGCGCGGCGGGGTAGGTGACCGGCACCACGGACCCCAACCCTCCCTCCAGCCCTACCGGTGGGGGCTCGGGGCCGGGGCGGCCGCCAGGGCCCTGCGGCGGCGGACTTGCACCCCCCGCCGCAGCTGCACCTGCTTTCGTCCATGCAGCCAGCTCGCTGCCATACACAGCGTTAATGTACGGCACTGCTGCCACCTGTGATAAGCGCCGGAGGATGTATGGTGAACTGATGAGCTTGTTAGGCAGAACGTAAGAATGGTGTGTTTGTGAGGCATTAAACATTAGCCTGGGTCCTCACGCAGTCGAAAGCCCTCCATGTAGCCGCCGTAATGTACGACAGCCCACTCCCAAACTCTTCCCCCATGCCCCCACGGCCTCACCGACACATGGGGCCACATGCGGCACTCCAGGCAGTTGGGGCTGGGGGTGGTGGCAGCGGGGCTGGTGGCCGCCACCGCAGCGGGAGCAGCCGCGGTGCTCTGTCCCTGTCCAAGTGTAGATGTGGATGCGGACGTTGTTGCAGCAGTGGCTGGGGGACCTGCTACTGCCGTCTGGCGGTGGGCGGTGTTGGCCGCCAGCCAGGCGGTGTGCCACTTCCACTGGGCCCTCCAGAACCCCGGACTGGGGGGCAGCTGCGAACCGCCAAGTGTCACAGCCCCTACAGACACACACATCGGCGGCCGCACAAGTACACGTGAAAAGCACCACGAGCAGCAGAAAGAGTGGCAGCAGCAACAAACGTAACAAAAGCAGTCGCGATGGCATTAGAAGTAGCAGTAGCAGCAGTTGACCCCCAATCAGAGCCGGGAGTAGTCATCATCGAGACCCAGACAGCTCACGGAATGCATGCAGGCGTTACGGCCCCCCAGTCGCCCCAGTCGCCCTGTCAGCCACGGGCCCGACCCCCATTGCCCTCGCTACACCTGGCCGGCCACGGAGGGTGATGGAAAGTGAGCGCCGCTCCCTGCCACGGACTACCCCACCCCACCCACCCCCACCACCTGTACGAGGTCACACGACCCACCGGAAGGCCGGTTCGCTGTCTTGACGTTGCCGTGCCACTCCGCCCACTGCGCCGGGTCAGGCAGGAGCCCCGGGAGCCCCGTGTCCACATTGCCGCCATACAGGGCCTGAGTCAACCCTTGACTGATACTCGGCAGTGGTCGCGTTGCCATCGTTACACCTGCAACATGCATACGTACATACATACACACACGCTTGGGGGAAAAGTCCACCAGTGACGGGGCGGGACAGGATGTGCCGCTGAGCGCGGGTCACCACCGTCGTGCACATGTACGGCCAAGACGGTACCCCGCCGCTCAGCCGTACGTTGTCACGAAACCCCTCCCACTTTACCTACACGACCGTCGCATAATGATTATGTACGATTTACCGTACATGGACTGATAAGAAAACGCAATTAGCTAGCCTTCCTGCATGTGCGACTATACAGAGTCCCGACAGCCCTATTCTCTCGCCCTCCCCCCCTGACAACTACCAAATCACCAACTTATTAGATCCCATTCCCCCTTCCCTCCCCCCCGATCTGGATCTGGATCTGGATCTGGACGTGGAGGACACGGCCCCCACCACGTTACCTTGTCCCACACTGGCCAGGGGCACCACCCGGGGGGGCTGCAGGCTGTCCGGCGGTCTGTCCCCCCGCAGGGCCGTCAGGAGGTGCTTGCGGGACATGAGCGCGTGCTCCGAGGGGTCCCACAGGTCCAGGCACATGAGCACCGCCCGCAGCAGGGGCAGAGGCAGCAGACCGGGGGGAGATAGCTCCAGCAGCACCTGAGGATGGACGAACAAAACAGACAGAAGACAGACAGACAAGGTCGTTCCAGTCCCAAAGTAATGCGCAACGACAAATCTGCAAGTCCCACCCTTATACGTGAAAGGGCGGCTCCGGCAACCCCGGCTGGGCCATTTCCCCCCCTTAAGCAAACAGCAAACCGGTCACACCACCCCTACCCCCACCCCCTACCCCACCCACCTTGCGTAGCTCACACGCGTCTAACCTCCCCTTCCCCCTGGAGTCATGTCTCCTCCACACCGCCTCCACGTCCTCATTCTGGCCCCCCAGCAGCTCATGCAGCTGCCTGAGGGCCCCCAGCAGGTCCGCCCAGGTGGGGGCCCTCGCATCGGCCCCTCCCCCTCCCCCTCCCCCTCCTGCCGCCCCTCCAGGGGGGCCGAGGGGGTACATGGGTGTATCCAGCTGCCCCTGCAGAGCAGCGGGATCCAGACCCCGACCTTGGATCTGGATCTGGGTTAGTGCCGCTGAGATGTCCCTGCGGGGAAGTGGGGGAAGTGCGGGGAAGTGGGGACGGAAGGCGGAAAAGCGAGGGAGGGGAGTTGAAGAGGGGAAGGTGCGAGGCAACCACGAGGCCAATCAGGGGGGGCGGAAATAGCAGCAGGGGGAGCGAGGAGACCAGGTGGTGGTGGTGGTGGGTCCAGACGGCGAGTGGCAGTCACAGGCTGTCATGCAAGGGCAGTTAGTAAGGGGGGGCAGCACCGGGTGGCCATCATCAGGTAGAACACCAACAACCAACCGTCGACGTCCAAGGGGTTATACAGGGATACCTCCAAGCAGTACAGCGCGGTCTCTCCGGGCCTCGGGTTCTTCAGCGGGGGCCGGCTCCGGCTCCTTGAGGCCCCCCCAGTACCCCCCACCCCCGTACTTCAGCCGGGGGTTACTGAGGGTTAGTGCCGCCCCCATCCGCATACATCCCCCCACACGCGGCCCTCACAGCTATACCACCCGAGGGGGGAAATCCACTCCGACACTGAGCACTCCAGCGCGGCACGAGCTACCCACCAGCACCCCAAAGCCCCCACCTGCAGTTCTTGAGGCCACTGTCGAACTCCTCGCGGGAGAGAGTGCCGCTCCCATTCACGTCCAGTACGGCAACCAGGTGCCGGGCCTCCCGCCCCGTCAGCGGGGGCTCACCCACCCGGGACTCAAGCATCTGTCGTACAAGATGACGAACCTGGACGACCGGGGGAGTACGGAAGTGAGTTTAAGCGGTGGTGGGTAGCGGGGGTGGAGAGGTGCGACAGGGACGCAGGCGGGGTTCGCTCGTGGCACCACAGCCCCCCAACCGGGACTGAGTGCTACCCAATACGGGTAGGTGGACCCGCGCCAGTGAGCTCCCACCCTGCTAACGACCATCACCCCGTCGCAATTATGTCTGTGTAACTGCCATCAAGTGCCACACAAGGCGGTTCCCTCTTCATCCCCCCCCCCCACGCACACACACGTGCACGCATGAGCTCGGGGGCCCTGGGCATTACATCGTTTTACGTGCCTTACAGTGGACGGCACTGTGCTATCGTCACACACACTCACGACCAGAACGTCACAACCGGCCCCGCCAGTCTCTACAGACCCCAAGGCTGCAGTTCTCGCCACCCCTCGCCTCCCTGTCACCAACCCGCCACCAACCCGCTCTCCTCCCCCCACCCCACCTGGTTTACGGTCAGGTCCGACCCCCGCGGGAACAGCTCGTCCAGCTGGGCCCGGTTGTGTTTCACGTGGTATCGGAGCAGCTTGAACACGTCCCTAGGCCGACCCGGTACCCACCCCGCGGCCGCCGCCGCCGGGCCGTCCGTCGCGGTGCCGGCCTGAGGGCCCCAACCAGGTGGGGCGGGGCGGGGCGGGGAGAGGAGAGGAGGGGGTTACGGCGGAGGGAGGGTACGCGGTGAGAGGGACCCGGGTGCAGCCCCAGCCGCGTGTGCACCGATGGGTGTGGTGGGAGGAGGCAACACGGCCCCGCTGCCCCAGCCAGTCCCCGGAGCCGTGCTGCCTCCTCCCAACACCACACACAACTCCCCCTTGCCCCCCCTCGCCCCCCCCTAGCTACCTGCAGTCCGAAGCAGCGCCTCAGCTCCCCCAGGTGCACCCCGGGGTCCAGGGGGGACAAGATGGCGGTGCGGCCGACGTGGGCCTGGGCGGGAGGGCGGGAGGGGGGGGAGGGGCGGGAGGGGGGGGAGGGGCGGGAGGGGGGGGAGGGGCGGGAGGGGCGGAGAAGGTTCCGGGTCGGTGGGGCGGCAAACCAGGAGGCCGCCACACACACATATTTACATACATACAGCCCTGGTACGATATTCCCCGATAGGTACCTAGCACCGGGACCTGGGGGGAAGGGGCACCGCAGGAGGTCCGCTTAGTACGGCAATGGCCCCCAACATGCACCCACCCCTGTAATGACAATACCCCGCCCCCCCCCACACTCCCCACCCCACTCACCATGAGAGCGCGGACAGCCGCACGACCCCCCAGACTTTCCGGAACAACTGCCTGAACAGCAGTGGAGGTGGTACGGCAGGCAGGCATACAGGCAAACAGGTTAACCCGCGGCAGCAGTACCAGTTGTACGGCCACTATAATCATCATCACCACCACGCTGAAGGTGGCAGTACACGTCAGTGCCAGTGCGCATGTGCGCCCCCCCGCGACCGGGTTGCTCCAACCGCCCGCCGCTTCACGATGCCCTCCTTGGTGATCCCTCCCGGCCGCTGCCCCATGCGCTTGGCGGCAGCAGGCGATAAAACCCCCCTCCCTCCCGGCCGCTGCCCGGGTCCCGGCCCCTCCCCCCCAGCGTGTGTGTGTTTCACCTACCCTACCCACCTGGAACAGCTCACTGAGCTGGGTGAACGTCAGGTACCCCCCTGGGGTGGTGGGTGAGGGGGAGAGAGGGGTGATCTCCGGTTAGGCGGTTACGTGGGGGGCAGCAGCCAGATGTGACGGTGGCAGGGGACATCAACACCTGGTCAGCCAGCCAGCCCGGCGATCCCGGCGGGGGTGGAACTCTCCCCACCAAACACCCCGGGTCGTTAGATGTTGGTCAGGGCCCTAAGGACAAGAAACCCTCCTAGCATTGCATTGTCCTCCACCTTCCCCCTACGACGCTTCCTCCCCCCCTCTCAGGCCCCTCCCCCTCCCCCACCTGGCGGGTTCATCTGCACCAACTTGGCCTCCACTGCCGTCACATTGCTCCGCAGGTGTTGGACAGCCGCCTCCAAACAGCCCAACAAACTGCCGGGGCTGCCGGGGCCGGCCCCCGCTCCCGCCGCTACAGATCCAGATCCCGCCAGTCCGCCAGCTCCCTCCCCTCCCCCCCCTGCCGACACGGCCTCATCAATACCCGCACAGTCCACCACACTCTGCACCAGCTCCCCCTCACTCAGTGCTCCGTCGCCGTTCATATCCACCATCGCCACGAACAGCTGGGTCTCCAGATCCGATATGGAGGGGACGGCCTGGCGGGCAAGGGGGAGAAGGGAGCGGTGGGGGGTGGGGGAGTTGGGGGGAAACACACACAAACGCGCATCAAGCCACAACGGTCCCAAGACCTCCCCTTAACTGCCCCGACCACCAGCCCCCCAACCGGATGGTCCACCCCACCCCAGGCCCCAACCCCACGTACCAGTGCCAGCAGCTTCTTGACCTCCTCCATATCCAGCACCCCGTCCCCCCCTCCGGCGTCCGCGTGTGAGTCCACCTCCCGCACCAGCTGCCTCAACCGCCCCACTCCCCCCTCAGAGTGGAGCCATCGTGACACCAGCGAAAACACATTGCGCCGCTCAAGGGGGGGACCGCCTGACGGGAGGGGGCGGGGGAGGGGGAGACGTAAGGACGCAGCTCAGGACTCCGGAGCTCCTCCTGTAACCTGCCGACCACCACCACCACCACCACCACCACCCAGGATATCGCTCACCTCGACCCGCGTCGCACTTTGTGCGGTTGTCCCAAGTGACGGTGATACGGAGGTGGGGAGGGGGGAAAGGGGGGAGGAGGGAAGGGGGGGAGGAGGGAAGAGGGGGAGGTGGGAAGGTGGGAGGGGAGCGGAAACAACGGGAGGCGAGCCAGGGCAAATGTCAGCAAGCTCCGACAACCTCGCAAGTGCCGTACAGCTCAAGGAACTCCTGCCTAACGTCCCCCCACCATCCCGCCACATCTGAGCTTGAGGTTTTCCTTTCCACCCCCCCTTACCATCACGACCACTGCCAAGGTGGACTTGACTCCCCCCTGAAACCCCCTAACCTGTCATCGCCCACCTGACAGGTGGTCTGAAGACGCCGCTGGTTTCCCGCCGTCCCCTTAACCCTTAGTGCCAGTCACCACAGGCTGCCGTGTACTGGACTACATGGTGGTGGCTGCGGCAGCCCATGGCCCCCCCCACACACCACCTCCACCCGCTCACCTTCTGCTTCCGTGCTTCTGAGTCCGCTTTGGCGGCTGCGAACTGAACAGCTCGGCCCCGTTTGGGTAAGACCGGGGGAATATCCTGAGGACATGAGCGCGGGGAGTGTTCGGTGTGTGTGTATGTGTGTATGTGTACGTGTATGCCGGGTTGAAGGGCAGGGTGGACACGATGTCGCGCCGGGGGGCATGGCCACTGGAGCTGAGCTGTGCAGGTCAGGGCGCATGAGCAAGGAGGCGGTGCACAGTGGGAGGGCGCTTCGTTTGGGGAGTGAGGTAAGGTTGGCAGATGGTTGCGCCAAATATGTGCAGTGCGTGCATACCTGTCGCACACAGATTTCGGAGGTCAGGGTGTACTGGCTGCCGTAGACGGTAAACGCCACACTGGAGGCGCATCCACGGCCCCAGCTGTCGCCCGTGTGGATTCGCACCTGGCAAGGACCCGGAAAAATAAGGTTGTGAAGTCTGTTATGTTTCCGTTACGCATGCCGCAGCATACATTTGCCCAAAAATATGGTAAATTTTCAAGTCTTACTTCGTAGGTATGTTGCATGTTCCCCCAGCGGGCCAGTGCTTAAGGTAAAGCACTTGACGGTTGCAAAAATGGCCACTGAGCGCGTTGAACAGATAAATGAGAGCCTTCAAGGCTATTATTACAAGTCACCACAGCAGTTATACTATGGGACAGTAATCTCAAGCTACATTTCTCATTTCCGGACGCCTAAGTGGTTTCAATTAGACAGCTCCCTCAAGGCGTCGGGATCGCTTCCCAAGCTAGAACTAGCCGCATTGTTCTAAAAAATGATATTAAAATTATATAAGAGCTAGCACCATCCCTGAGAATTGCAATCCATATGTACGGACGTTCGACCATCTTCCTTATCATGCCACAGGCACAATGAATCCCTTAATCATAGTTATATACGCTTCTCCGCTGCACCCCACGCTTCATATACGCGTTCGCGCGTTCCACTTAAATCCACCCCTCTTTCTTGACCTGAATGCACGGTGCAGCGGCTCCAGCGGGAAAGCGAGGGGAGGCCATCAAGGGCCTGGGGCGCTGGCCCAGCAGCCCAACGGGAGTGGGGCGTTCCCGGCTAGGGTGCAGCAATGCGACCTCTAAACCCTCATGCGCCGGAATGGAAGCCAACGGCCCTGCGCGCCCAGGCCGTCTTCGAGGTCACAGCTGAGCTCAATAAACCTCCTTTTGACGCATTTGACCTATCAGGCCTGCCCTCAGAGGTGCGCTATAGCTTCGTTCGCATCACCATTCGTCCTCGTAGCTGACGGCGCTACCGTCTTGAGTCTGCAGGTGATTACGTCAGTCGTCTCATTCCTCACAGACCCACGGGACCTGGCCAGCTCCATCTGCGCGTGCAAACTACTTAAGGGTCATGTGTCTGATGCTGAACTTGTTCTGGACATACGATCTTGGAAGTTGTCCACTACTCCAGGCGGTGGAAACATTTCTGAGGGCATTTTTGTTACCATGCCCAAGGCGCTTCTAGGCGTATGCAAATATATGCCAGGTGGGTGCTTTCCGCTTTGGGTCCGTTCGACGGCAAGAGTGCTTCTAATAGAACGAAGTTTCTCTACAAACTATACCTTGTATAAGCTGTTGCGTAACATAAGCTGACGCTTATTATGAAGCGCAACCAGTGTGAAAATACAGAAAGTCTTGATTGGGCCGGGGTCTCCCTGCTGGAGTAAGCTCCCCGTGTCGCAATCTCTTCCCTTCTCGACAGGCACTGTGGCGCTTCTCCTCCCAAACATGCCTCTGGAGGACAGCGATGTGGACTATCTTGTTGCGAGGCTCCCCCGGCTGCAGATGCTGGACGTATCCGGGGCCCGCAAGATAACTCACGGGGGGGTGACTTCCCTGGCTCGGGCCACGTCGGGGGCGGCAGTGACCTACCGGTGGAAGCCAACAGGCGGCAGCACCTGCCCGGGTGGGACCTCGCTGCCAGAAGCAGCCAGGGCAGATGACTTCGCTGCAGTCCGGGGCCCTGCAGCCAGGCCACTACCGCTGCGCTTTGCCAACCTACAGCGCTGCTTCCAGCTTCACGGCGGTAGCCTGGATGAGCTGCTGGCGGTGCCCGGCTTGAAAGTTCTGGCGCTGAGCCACTTGGACCTGGGCCGTTGGCCGGTCTCCTCTGCCACCGGAGCTGGAGCGGGGCTGGATGCCTCCACACCTCCACTGCCGTGGACTACAGAATTGCAGGTGAGGCTGTGGCGCGGTAACTCGTTAGTCTGCGCTGTCCTTCATATGACCGACTCGCAAAGAAACAAGGGGCCTTAAGCCCTCATCACGACACGGGGATTTCCAGGCTGTAAATATTATCCTGTTGTTACACCCATCCGCCAATTCGTCCCTTTCCTAGGGTGGAGCTGTTTTGTGTGTCTACGCCTTGGATACATAACGTGTGGTTCCCGGGGTTTCCCTCCCCTTTCCCCGGGGCCCCGGCGCCCGCTTGTTCCTTGCCTCGTTCCCCTCCTCGCTCCCCTCCTTGTTCCCTCCCTAATCCGCCACCTGCGCCCCTGTTGAATGGATCCCGCAGGTCCTGGCGCTGAATAACTGCCTGCGGCTGCATGGCTCGGCCATTGACGCACTCACGGCCATTTGCGGTGGCGCTGTGGCGCCGAGTGGTACGACATACCACGGCGGTCGCAGCACTATCTCCCGCTACAGGCCAGGCAGCAGTCTCCGCTTCCTGCTGCTGGGTGGCAGCACCCTGGCGCTGTCGGCCCTCCTCAGCAGCGCCCACCCGGCCCCGGAGCTGCCGCCGCGCACCTCAGACCTCCTGGTCTCGGCATACAAGCCCGCCCTGACCAGCACGGCCGCCACCGCTCAGGCACATCTTACCGCGGCCCGGCATTTGGTGGCCGCTGTGCTGTCCCTGCCGCGCCTGGTGGCGCTGGAACTGACCCTCTTCCCCCAGCCGCTAGTGCAGTGCCTGCGCCGGGTGCTGGCGGATGGGGAGGCCCTCGGCGGCCGCCCGCCCGTGCAGGTCTGGGACTTCGCCTCCCAGGACGGCACAGACGTGGAGGCAGCGCGACACACCTTGCGGCGCGTCCTTGGTGCGGCTCGACTGGCGGCGCACTGCCCGGAGGAGTGGGAAGCAGAGCAGAAGGGCAGCTGCTGGACTCCTGTCATGCACAAACATGGTGGCGGTGGTTGTGGTTCACTCGTGCAGGCTGTCGGCGTGAGCAGCCGTGCCGGTGAGGTATTGGACCAGCTCGCGGTGTCCACGGTGCTGCGCTGCGCCGTCAACTGCTCCAGCGTCACCCGCAGTACACCGCTGCACCTGGCTGCGGAGCGGGGCAGTGCAGGTGTGGTGTCTAAGCTGCTGGCGGCGGGGGCCGTTGTGGACGCACGCGACACAGCGGGCAGCACTGCGCTGTTCCTAGCCTCGGAGGCGGGACACACTGCGGTGGTGGAGCGGCTGCTAGCAGCGGGGTCGGACCCCCGCCTGGGCAACTCCGCGGGTGAGACCCCCCTCTACATTGCGGCGCTGCGGGGCCACCTGGGCTGTGTTAAGGAGCTGCTGCTGTACTGCAAAGCGCGTGGGATTGACTGGCAGGACCCCGAGATGTACGGCGACTCCTGGACGCCCCTGCATGCGGCTGCGGTAGCCAACCGCGCTGATGTGGCGGCGTACCTCCTGCAGGTGGGGGCACGTGATGATGGAGTCGGAGCCGGGGGGCACGTGGGTAACCCGGGGTTGCTTGCTGGAATAGCGGTATCCTCGTGTCGCTGTCTCATCCGTGCGCTGCTTTACTGCTATACCATTGCCTCCTTTCTTTGTGACGATTGGTGCGACACCCTGTGACGCACACTCGCTTCAGTTGTGTTACCTATTAGTTCGTCTGTACGTCTGACCGCTTCCCGACAGGCGGCTGGTGCGGCCGGCGCGGGTGAGCTTGTGCTGGCACCCAACAAGTACGGCCAGAGCGTGTTGCATGTGGCCGCCCGCAAGGGCTCCTCCCAGCTGCTGCGTCTCCTGCTGTCAGCCGGAGGCGTCGCGGTGGTGGGCTCGCGTGACGGCAGTGGGGACACGCCGGTGGACGTGGCCAAGAAGAATCGCCACGTAGCAGCGCTGGCGGAGTTTAGGAGGCTAACGGCCGGTCATACGACAACCCGTGGGTCGCAAAGCGCGGCAACTGCGATGGCTTGATACTCCCATGAGAACATGCAAGCTGACTATTGACCTGGCCGGAACATTTGAGGTGCACAGGTGGTCTTCGATCGCAGTGACACGGAGTGCATCGGCTGGGTCTGTTTTGCTTTCGAGGGAATTAAATCCATGAACTTCCATGTCCTAGGACTGCTAGTACTACTTAGGAGGGGGATTACTGATATTGCATGTCGCACTTCGCGTCTTTCCAAGCAAATTTGAGCGAGTATCGCATCTTGGGCCAGTTGGCTAGCTATGACATCATGAGAGCTGACACGAGAGCTGAGCGGTGGGCCACTCGCCATCCTGGTGTCACGAAGATCCCGACACCAGGTCAATCCATTTGTTTGTGATGGTCGTGTACATAACTTGTTGTCGTTGTTCTACACCACCTCATGCATTGGGTAAGCGCTGCCTTGCTTGGGTTAGCATTCCTATGAAAGAATGGGGTTGCGCCTCCAGGCTGGCGACCACACAAGGTAGTCGCCTAGAGTGCCTTGCCGGGGCCTTGTCATGGTCTTGAGCACTTGGGGTTCGGCTTCGCATCCAACGGTGCTGATGACACGTGCCATATGCCATAACTGGATTTTTGTTGGCATGACGTAATCCATGAGTTTGATAACCATGATGTGGGCTGACGTGGACATCGCAAGTCGATATCAGGTATTAACAAAACAAACGGCGATGCTGATGTTTGCCAAGCCGAAAAACGATTGATGCCGATGTAAGTACGGTGGGAGTCGCGGAGGTCATTCACGATTACAGGTTGTACCCGTGGACGCACCAGCGGCACAAACTTCACCCGTTCTAGAACCTACCTGTTTGAGCAACATTTCTCCCAAGATGAAGTAAGCTCGCCCCGCCCCGCAGCAGCACCCGGCAACGGGGATATGCTGCCGTACAAAGGACGTACAGCCCTAGGGGGGTTTCGGCTTCATGGAACATGTCGTATTACATATGGTGTGGTGTGCAGGACACGAATGTGTTTTAAGTAGGTTGGCCGGTGCGGAAGTCTCAGGTCAGCAGGCACCACGACTGCGGGCGCCTCTTCCCTCGCCACATGGCCTTCCGTACTTCACAGCCGTATGGCAGGCAGATTTGGAGTCATGCCTTGCTAACCTTCCTACCTCGGGACGTGCAAGCCAGCCCCAGCTACCTAGCTGACCACCTAGCTACTGGCGCGGCAAGCAGCTGGAAGTCCTGACAGTAGCTAAACCCACCACTCGCGTATGCGGGTTCAAGGTATCCGAACAGGCCTCCCACAACTTCCCACGACACCCCCTTATAAATGTTTAGCGTTACAGGTAACCCAGCCACCGGATCCCCGGTCACCCACAACCCCAAGACAACTCGAGTTGTGATGTCCTCTTACCGGAGCAGCCTCTGACGCACGTGTTGGCCAAATAGGTTGGCTAGACTCTACCATCACCGAACAAGTCACCACCGTCCAAAACACCCCCTCAGACCGAACACGACCATTCTTAATCGGACCAACCTTCACACGTCCATCCATCATCATCATCATCATAAGGAGGTGATTTGCTCCCCTCATAAATGCCCATATGCTGAATGCATTAGATGTTTTAATGATCGTTAATAATGTGTTCAAATTCTTTGTTACGTCACAGACAACATCAAGCGACACGAGGGGTCCTACGACGCGGGCCTGAGGCAACAAGCTCATCCTCCTCTTCAATCTCCTCACCCGCCGCTTCTGCCTGCATGTACGACACAAGAGGGAACACACCAGTCAGATTGCGCGGGCCGACCCCAAAATCATCTCGGTGTCGGAATGTTGTCGTACACCAATTGATCCCAATCCAAATCCCAATCCAAAGCATGACTATTGCAGCCCTACCGCCCTACCGCCCCACCGAATCCATTCAAGGACATCTAAGGAACCCAAGGACGCCATCGGAGACTGTCCAGGGAAGGGCACTGCTCCGCTCCCTCCCTCCCTCCCCGCCATTCATGCGCACCCTCCTGCGGGTTCTCAAGCGGGGGACTGCGCTAGCAGCCAAATATCGTCACCACTCAGCGCAGCACAGCACCACGCTCGCTGTTCACCTACCTGTTCAACTGTCTCCTCGACCTGCTCCGCTCCCGGTGCCGGCTCTTGATCCCCGGTATCGTCACCCTCCCTCGCCTCAGCCGCCCCCACCGGCTCAGCAGTCCCGTCCGCTGCCGGGCTGACCTGACCCTCACCCGCACCCTCCCCGGCTGCATCCACATCCTCCCCGCCCGCGGTATGGGCGGCTACGGCACTCGGCTGCGTGTCGTGTGCACCGATCAGGTGCCAGTGGGGGCCCCCGGGGGGTTGGGTGGGGGAGTTAGCACACTTACGGGAGTTGCTGCCGTACACACGTGGCACATGAGGCGGACTCCCCCGACATGACACGTGATATCTCCCATACGGGTTTACGTCTCCTCAGGTGGCATCGGCGCTCTAACTGCATCCACGTCCTCACGGCGCCCAGTCTGTCAGCTCGTGTGACAACAGAACAAGCAGCCCCCCCCCCCCGCTCACCTTCCGGGCGCCCGAGCCCACCCCCCGCAGCAGCAGCACTGCAGTGAGCAGCAGCAGGGGCCCCAGGCCCACCAGCAGGATGAGCGAGTCCGGCTGGTCCTCGAGATGGTCGAGGAAGGGGCCCAGGTACGGAGCCAGGGGGGATAGCACGGCACCGTCCTACGCGGCCATGTAGATCCAACAGCGCAGAGAGTTACATAGCAGCTTTGGAAAGGGGGAATAGAGTGTGTATCTGTATGTGTATGCTGTCGCTTCAGGACACCGCTGCGGCAGCTCCACTGGAGCAGGGTGGCCTATGACGATAACATTGAGGAGAACAACTGCCGACTAGGGGCGAGGGGCGAGGGGCGGAAAGCCGCCCGTTGTGACCCACCTCGAATAAGTCTAGGAAGGCCTCGGTCAACTGCCTCAACTGCTCAATGCCGTACCGCGACCCCTTTTGCGCCTTCTTCTTCTTCCTCTTCGCCAGCTCCTTCGCATCCTCGACCGGCTTCACTTGCACCCGGCGCTGAAGGGGGGAAGAGAGCCGCATCCGGGCCCCCAACCACACCGCCCGGTAGAGGGGCAGCAGTAGGGCGGGGAGGGGGGCTTAGGGTGAGAGGGGGAGGAGAGCGAGCTCACCGAGCTGAGGATTGGAAGGACCCACCCCACTACCCACCTCCTCCGCACATATGGATGCAGGGGTGCCCTCCGTTCCTCCCTCCCTTCCCCCCCTGCCGCACCTCCGCCTCGTTACGCGGCTTCCACAGCTGGTTGACCGCCAGCTCCGCCACCTCGAGGTCCCGCGTGATGAGGATGTTATCGAACATGTAGCCGCTGTCGATGGTCCACAGCTCCAGCGCCACCCCCCCGATGGGCCCCACTCCGGTCCGCAGGGGCTCCTCCTCCGCGAAGTAGTCCGGGTTGGGGAGAGTCCGCTGAACCCAGGGACCCTAGGGGGGGGGGGCCAGGGGGATTGGCAATAACGGGGTTCGGTGGGAGGGAGGGAGGGAGGGAGGGAGGAAGCGGCGGGAGTAGAGGGAGGAGAAGTCAGGGAAGAGGGATGAGGGTTGCAGGTGCCCCCCAGAGGTTGAGATCGCCTGACAAAGCTGATTCGGCAAACCACCATACCACCTAACTGGCTAGGTGCCGGTACGGCAATCACCCACTCGGCTGCCTGAGGAACCCAACACACACACGCCCCACCGCACTGCACCCCAACTGGCCGAGTGCAGCCGCCTTCTGAGGGTTCCCCAGTTTAGGAGCCCCCTTACCCGCCGTGCCGCTCCCTAGCCACCCCTCCCCCCTCCCCCCCAACCCCACCTTGTACTCCGGGTTGTCAATGAGGGGCGGCTTCCAGGCTCCCTTCCACGCGGGGTTGCGCTTCAAGGGCCTCGCCCAGGGGCCACATCCCACCTTGCACCGGGGGTTGGGGATCTGGTTGGGCTCCCACTGGCCGTCCTCCTCCTCGTCCCAGTCCGCGGGGCGCCTGGCAGCTGCGGTCCCGGGGTGGTGGTGGTGGTGGTGGAGCGGTGAGGGGGCCAAAAGGGGAGGGACGGGTGTGGGTTAGGGTCCTGGGGTGAAACGGGTGGCAGTACGGCAGTACGACGGTATATACATGGCCAGTGACACCAGCTATCGGCTGTCTTATCAGCAATCACCTAGCGGGGGGTCCGGGCGGGACGGAGGGACAATTTGGGGATGTCGTACGAGCACCCAGGAGTGCGCGCGTGTGTGTATATCTGTACATGTATGTGGGTACATACTTATGTATGTCCCTGCCCTCACTCCCGAGCAGCAGTTCCTCACCGGGGTCATTGATGAGGGCGGGCTCGTGCTCCAGCCAGCCTGTGAGGGGGGCAGGGGGGGGGCAGTGGCGCGAGCGGGGCCGCAGGCGGAAGTGGGGACAGGTTGGGGCAGGGAGGCCGTTCATTCCCCGGCCGTTTAACTCACGAGCCGGTCCAGATCCCCCGTCCGCATCATGCAACACAGATTAGCAGTTGAGAGGAGGGGAGCACCCCCTCGGGCGCCAGCGGCTGACGTCAAATGGCTATTCAGGAATATCATTAGGACACCAGGTCACCGCTATTCCCCCTCCACATGATATCGCCTAATCAGGCAGCCATAATGTCCGGGTCAATGGGAGGTCTAGACAGTTTTGGTAACTCAGCGGCTAGCGCTTCATCCCCAATATGCCGCCTTCTGCACATGTACGGCACGGCTGCCCTTCACATGCATATTCATCCCCCCAAATTCCCCACGCCACCCTCACCCTTGGGTTTGGTGGCCTTGTCATCCTCCACCATCTCGCGGTCGTCCCAGTCCGAGGGCTTGACGGCGTGCGGGTCGGGGATCCTGCGCCCCGGGCGAAGCAAGGAAGACAGACAGACAGACGAATGAGCGACAACGCTTCCAGCAAAAGCCTTACAACTACAAAAATGAAACAGACAACCACCTAAACCACCCCAATGAGCCCCAGGAAGGGGCCGCCCTCGGCCCCATTGACCCCTCAGACTGCACAAAGTAACCACCTCGCCAACCGTCCCTCGCACATACGACTGCAGACACACACAAATGCATAAACACATACACGTACAATTCCCCCCCTTCCCCCCATGCGCCACTCACTGGGCCACATCCACCCAGTCCGCGGGTTTAACGTCCTGTAGGTCGGGTAGCTCCAGGGGGGGCAGCAGCGGGGGCTGCAGGGTGGTGGGCTCCATAAGGCCCCCGGAGGACCTCAGGCTGCCGTCAACCAGGATCTCGTACTTGTGGTCGGGACTGCCACCAGGGGTGTGGTTGGGGTGGTTGGGGTGGTTGGGGAGGGAGGCTGGTATGTGGTCCAAGGAAAAGCGGCGGGGGGGGGACGGTGAATGCCGGCGGGCTTAATCCCCATCAAACCCCGGGTTGCCCTTTTGAGAGGTGGAGAGGAGGAGCCCCAGCTACCAAATAACTCGGGTCATCAGCACACCCCGCTACACAGGAACCCCCCGTGGTTCACCCCCCGATATTCCCCCCGGCCCCCACTCACAATAATCTGAGTGTGTACACGTGTGTGTAGTCATTGGTTTCCGGGGAGGGCGGGGAGGCGAGGTGCTTCTCGGTGATGGTCCCGTTCACGGGGTTACGGTGCCGTACAATGAGGTGGATCTAGCGCCGCCGGAAGGACCATCGGGAAGGCAAGGTGGGTGAACAACAGGGTTGGGATAGGGTGTGGGTTCAAAGACACAGCACCAACTGTTACTGTTGCTGCGGTTGCTGCTGCCCGAACCCCTCCCCTAACCCGGCTTCCGGGCGCTGCAGACTCCGGCACGAGCTTGGGTGAGACAGTCTTCTTGTGTACGACATACGATACGGATCGACAACCCGTTGTGACCTTCAGTATCATTTATCGATTGGTTTCGGAGGCCGCAGCACTCATCCCCCTCCCCCTGCCAGCTGGCCCCCCTGGAGCCCCAACCCCCCCAAGCCGACTATGATGGCGGCTGACCTTGCTCGTACCACCACAACGGTCTGGTCCGAACATAATCGAGTACGGCGTGCTGTCCACCAGACCTTCCGGTGTAAGGTCAGGGTCAGCTGTCAGAAGCTTGAGGTATGAACCGCCGCACGTGACCCCCTCGTCATACTTCACTTCGTACTGTACGACAAGGGGCAGCGGCTTGGGGCTGCTCGCCACAATCGGCTCCACGGGTGCATCCAGCAGAGCTGTCAGGCCATAGTACTTGTTCTTCTCGGGAATCTGCATATGGGCGGAAGTCGGACAGACGAACGACAGTTGAGGAAAAGCACGTGCAACACAAGTTTCCCGACAACCGCATAACAAGGCGTGGTGCTGCCACTGACATGAGGGCGCTGCACACGTCAAGGTTCAAGTCGAGAGAACGCTGGATTTCCTTGATGTGAGCACAGGCCACAATCCTGCGTGAGATCACCAGGGTTTTCCATGAATATAATCCATCCAAATTGTTGGGTCACTCGCGAGTGACGTTGCCACTTGCAAGTCCCACGCGGTTGACCGAAGCCGAAGAGCCCGTACCGTCAACCACTCAGGCTGTCAACTGCATTTGCGCTTAAAAGCTGCCAAACTCCACCGCGTTTCAGATTCCTTATTAATAATAAATGCAACGAAATCCACGGCCACACCTTGAGTCCATTGTCTGTCCACCCTTTCGCGGCATCCGTTATGAACCTGCCGTTGTACTTGGCGTCCCGAGAATGACTCCATCGGGACTCCCATTCCTTATCATTGAAGGTCTCATAGAAGAGCGATTTAGATCTTATCGCATCGACGATGCTGGGCGACTGCGCTAAGGAAAGCCTGCCCGTTAAAACGACAAGAAACGCGATGAAGGCACATCTCCGCCCTAAACTAGACATGAAGGTCGATCCAGGTTTGGATGGCAAAGTTGTCAAACCAAACGTTACGCCAGTCGATCGTCGAATCCTTGAAAGGGATTTACTTAAGACGATAGGACAGACAATTGTTTCACTCGGACAGAAACAGAATTAAAGCAACTTTGCCTTGTAGCGTGCTGCTTTCGCAATCTTTGCTAAGAGAACCTTCCGTGTACGCCATTGTACGGCTTGCTGAAAACCTCTTGGCGCCTTAAGCCTTGGTCAAATGAACCTATTGTTCAGCAGCACCAAGTGTAATTCGTTTCATCCAGTTATGGAACAACGGCCCCAGGGCTTCTATGGGACCCGGTAGAGAACCCCAAGCCCTTTCCTGCAAGCTCGACTTTTTCAGCATGCCATGCCTTTTTCCTTCAGAAGCTTCACAAGTTCTTGGTGTTATGAAGTGACCGACACTCATGTATCAGTGAATGGTGACAGAAGTAGCAGGACCCGAGGGGGCCCCGCGCTTTGCTGAGTGTAACACTTGGTGCCAGGATTGAGCAGACGGTGCACCTTGCGAAGAGCTGCAGTAGCTGTACAGCAGAAGTATAGCCATCGAACCGCAGCTCTATCCCAGCTTACACCATCCTATACCTGCACTATCATGGGAACGTTGAGGAGGAGGAGAACGAGCTTCCCGACGCAGCGGTAGCCGCACGCCTACCGCCTCTAGGTACTTCCCCTCCCATATTTGGACGGGCAGTGCAATCATACCACCATGCCAACTGCATCGCAGCATGGTTAGATTGCACCTGTCTTCGTTGCCTATTGTACCACGAGAAGAGCTTACTTACAACCGGATACGGCAATTGAACATGAACCCGACACATGAACCCGGCTGGTAAACCGGACCTGGCCCGCAACCTGCAAGCTAACCCAAGGGAACAGGCTGTTCCTGCCCCTCAGCCGAGCCCTGTCTACAACTGGCACGAGCTTTGCAACACTGGTCTCCCGCAACTGTTGCCCCGTGCTCACAGGTGCCCTTACAACAGCAGGCCACTCGGGCCGGGTCCAGCAAAGATAGGAAACCCGTTAGCAACTAACGATGTACCATGGAAACCGGAGCTCATGGTTCCGAGCTGACAGACTTAACTTGAGCGGCGAATGCGGCGGTCACGGTCTCCTGGATCCTTATTAATTCTTTTCGAAACGGGCATAACATCTACCTATATGCTGGGCAAGTTTGGATCCGCGGAGTGCTCGGCGGAGGAATACCTTGTCATATACAGCACGAAAGTTGGAGATGTTTCGAGCAGCATCGTGGTCATTGTCGTTGTGTAAACGAATCTCTACCGTAGCGGAATGCTGTCGGGCTTGAGAGTGCTGGAACAGTTATGGAGGCGCCTCCGTACAGGGAACGGCATTTGTGAATAGAAAAGCTGTGTTTGCTACCTAGGTAACTCTTTCTTCCGTGCACGCGTGTAGCCGCTGCTTTTAAAGATGGCCGTTGGTGTTAAGAAGCCGGCCGCCAAGGGCGCGGCGAAGAAGAAGGCCCTGGTCTTCACCATCGACTGCGCCAAGCCGGTGGAGGATAAGATTATGGACATTTCTTCTTTTGAGAAATTTTTGCTCGATAAGATTAAGGTGGACGGCAAGACCGGTGTGCTGGGTGACTCCATTAAGGTGGCTAAGGAGAAGACCAAGGTGACCGTCACTGCGGAGACGCACCTCAGCAAGCGGTACCTTAAGTACCTCACGAAGAAGTACCTCAAGAAGCACAACGTGCGTGACTGGCTGCGCGTTATTGCCTCTAACAAGGACAGGAACGTCTACGAGCTCCGATACTTCAACATTGCGGATAACGATGCTGAGGAGGATGAGTAAGCGGCTTATGCTGGAGCTTGGAGTGGAGCTTTAGCTTGGTCGCCGCCGCAGCAGCGATTGCAGGCGAACGTCGGCGGCTCCTTTTTGGCAGGGCGGCTTTGATGGCTTGTCATGCTTTGCTGGAGGTGCTGTTGCTGTCAGGCGTACGCAGCTGGTTCGCAGCGGTTGTAACGAGAGAAAAGTCCATCGCTTTCCCGTTGCCGTCCATTTGCAGTGCACTGAAGACGCCACATGAAGCATTATGTACATGGGCTCATTTTAGATCGATTCAAGCAGCAGTTTGCGAGGTATTTAAGCGGAATCACACCAGGCTTTGGGGCGGAAACGTGCTGGGGCCCAGGGAAATACCAAGATGCCTTCACATCCGGGTGTGTTTGCGTCTTGCGTTACGTTACCCGTCTAAAATGGCTTCGGGTAGGGAAAAGGCACACGTCGTACGCATGGGGTAGGGGCAGGGTTGGCATTGCCTGGGGGACCGGAGGGGATGTGTGTTTCAAGGGATGGCCATTTGGAGCAACAAGTACAATGGACTCATGTAGTAAAAATCTATTTAGCTTGGAAACGGAGCACTCGCAAACGGTCCGTTGGGGGCCAACCCCATTTAAGCGGTTTCACAAAGGCGCCTTTCGCTTCACAACATGGGTGCATGGAAACTGTCCAGGCTGCAAGCAAGGGAGGCGTTACACTTGGTCTTGCTTCCCGAAAAGGGAAGGGGTGGGGAAGAAGGGGATATTCAACGTCAACTGGTCGAATACCCTACTGTCAAGTAATACATATAAACCTATGAGAGAAGTATGCTTGAGCCCAAGGATGTCATACTATCCAAGTTTGCAATGGCGACGCATTTTGGACGCTGGTGTACCACTCCATGCGTCGCATGATCGGGACGCATGCGGTAGCGGAATAAACGTACGACAAATAACGTTCCTGTATCAGTTTCTGGCCTCCCTTTGCTTAGGAATAGCATGTGTGATGTCACTAAAAATTATCCGAGCGTCTTCATCTAACACGACAAACTAAGAGAAAAAATGCACGCAAACACATATCAGAGTCTGCAATCGCCATGGAGACCGACGATTTGCTCTCTACGACGCTCAGTTACGCGACGTGTCATCCGGCACTTTAGATCGCAAACAAGTCTACAAGCTAGCGTTTCTCAGGTTTGTGGGCTTATTTGTGGCGATGACCTAAACAAATCCAACTGACCGGACTGACCAGCAGGTCCTTTACCAGACATCTGAGGCATCGGATGCTATCTGGCAGGGCCTTTTTTCAGCAGGGCAATCTGCGGACGCACTCGTCGCGTCGCAGCTCTCGGGTAGGTTGGCCGTTGGTGACCTATGTGGCTGAGCCGAGGCACTAACATATCTCTATGACAGGTGTGACGCCTCTGACTTATGTGATTATCTTCGGCGCGGGACTCGTAACTAGCTTGTCGCCATGCACGCTGAGCGTATTACCGCTGACGATAGGGTATATCGGAGGGTACAGCAAGGACGGGACAGATAGACCATCGCTCAGCGCGCAGGTAAGAGCGCCCGCTTCCAAATACACATTGTGACCGACATAACGTTCACTGTATTATCACGCTGAGGGTTGGGGCCTCATGACGCGCTCCTCATGACTAGGACGGCGGTCCGGCAGGTTGGTCCTTCCACCTTGCGAGGGGTCCATCCGGTGCATGGGGCGCTATTGGCTGCTAGCGGGAGGGGTCTCACTTCAGTCAGCCAGGCGGGTTTGCGAGGCACCCAATCTCCACTGGTGCCTTCGTGACACCTCCACCCTCCCATGTGGGCCTCCCCGACCTGCAGGCGCTCGCATTTTCCTTCGGCCTGGCAACAACTCTCGCAGCTTTGGGGGTCATCTCATCGTTCCTGGGCCGCGCCTATGGCCAAATTGGTGACGGTCTGCCCGTGGCAGTGGGCCTTGTCGCGGTGGTCATGGGCCTAAACCTGCTGGAGGTGGGTCTCCGCCACACCCTGGAGGGCCTACCCTGCATGACGTGTCAGTCCGTCCTCAGTCCCCGGTGACTCGGGTCGCTCGCTCGCACTGCAGCCGTGGCGCGGACCGCTGTCTTGCTCTTAAGCCATGGAACACAGGAAAGGTTCGTGCCGTACATCCAGTTTACAGCGGCGAGGAGATTCCACCATGTACTGCCTTGTACTGCCCTGCTGCGTTGTGTCCCGCCCGTAGGTTCTCCCGCTGCAACTGCCCTCCCTGGACGTCGATGTCCGTAAAGCCCCGGTACCGCCGGCACTGCAAGCCTATCTTGCCGGGGCCACATTCGCACTGGCGGCCTCGCCGTGCAGGTCGGTGTGTGGGAGAGGGGCGGTCAGCGGGGTAGCCCGGGTGGTGCTGAACGTGCGGGTGGTGTGCGGGTGGTTGGCGATTTCCAGGTTTGTACAGCACTCCCGCAAAATCTTATTGCACCCTACCGTACAGCCTCTGCAAGAAGTCCAGCCCTCTGGCTGCCGGCGGGAGCTCCTGGGGGCACCAGTGCCCTGCGTCAGGCGCCCCCGGGTTGTGCGTCTGGAGCGCTATGGCCGGCAGGTGCTGGCCCCGGGACCTTGGGAGTCCTTACCGCACATCCGGGCCTAGCCTGACGTGTGCTCCATGTGCCTGTGTGTGCTCTGTATGTCTGTGTGTGGTACCGCGCTGTGGGTGCAATGCACCTGGTCGGCCGTAGCACGCCCGTGCTGGCCACCCTGCTGGCCTACGTGTCCGCCACTCGCGACCCGCTGGAGGGCGGGGCCCTGCTGCTGGCGTACACGTGCGGGTACGTGGGGCCGCTGCTGCTGGCGGCCTCGTTCACGGTGAGCCAGGGGGCGGGCCTGGTTCACGACAGGGTCGGACAGGGTGCGGCGGCAAAACAGGGGGTCCAGTTTCTATTGCCGTTGCGGCTGCCGGTGTCGGGCGTCAGCTACCGACTGCGGCTCGAGAAAACGTGGGACAGTTTTGCTGGCGTTGTTTCTGTGCTAATCACTGTTGATCCGCTTATGCTGCAGGGCATGGTGAAGGAGCTCATGGCTTTGCGGCAGTACTCCGCCTGGGTGACGCCGGCCAGCGGTGTGCTCCTGGTCGCAGGGGGGACTTACACCTTGCTCTCGCGGCTGGTGCCCTCATAATGCCCTGAGCACATGGTTAGCTCAGAGGTCCAGGCTTGGCGATAACTGGAACTCCAAAGCATTTATGTTCTCATTATGACTATCGGGTTCAAGAGCTCAGGTGTTTAACTGTAACTGATGTACACTATGTACCTACACTTGCTAATGTCCGTACAGCACCTGGCCAACGGTAGGCCGTTTTGGTTCCTAGCAAGCGGCCCTGACATCAATGCGTGCATCGATGTAGCTTATTGCTGCAGTCGGAATTTGCATTAAAAGATATTACTTCTCCGAATTTGTGATTCTGTGTTAGCTGTTCGGGTTTTATAGCTGCCGAGGAACTTTCAAAGGCAACTACCAGAAGGTGTTGTAAATCGAAAGTGTCTCTCTGTCCACAAATACATGTACGCAAAGAATCACTTAGTACAGTAACCTTATGACGATACTACACAGCTGCCTAGCATGGAAAGAGAAGTTAAGCAAGTTGTAGCCTTCCAATACTTCTGCATGCTGAACGCGGCAATGGAACACCCTAGGTGACTGCAGCTGTCAGCTGTGCAGGGAAGCGTCAAAGGTTCCTTTTCTGTGACATTGGACGAGCAGGGGGCCGATCGCCGCGCTCATCGCTGCCGTCGCAAGGCCCCCTCTCTTCCGCGGACATGTGTCTGTCACTAATTTGCTTTGGCGGGTGGGACGTCAGCCTTCGCGTGCGCTTTACCGTCGCAAAATGGCTCTATTGTGTCGGGTTTACAGCCACAGCCATCGCTGTGTGGGTACTTCGCGATTATGGCGGCGAATTCTTGGCTCGGGAAGTCAGCTCCTTCAAGTTATGCAAGCAGGTGAGGAAGTCGGGGAAGCCTTATTCCAAGGGGGGATGTCCTATGTGGCTTTCCGACTGACCCCCTGCCTGCCGGATTCCCCCCCAACCCCCCAACCCCCAGTCCTCCGATCCCACCCTGGTCCGCTCCTGTGCCGGCAAGGAAGTGGCCCTGCGGGTCAGCTTCGCCAACCTGATCTACTTCGGCGCCCACCTGCTGGGGTGTCTGCTGCTCACGCGGTCTGAGGACCCCCGTGTGGATCTGCATGCGGGGCTGTGGGTGTGGCAGGTGGGGGGGGGCGGCAGGGAGTGTGAGACGGGAGGGAGGGAGGAGGAGGGATGCCGCCCTCCACGGCATACACGCGATCTGCCGGTGTGAAGGGGCGCTGCACTTAGCTGAGCTTAGCAAAGACAGTAAGATCAATGGCTTGTACCAATGTACGGAAAGGCCTCGTCACGGTCTCCTCGCGGCGGATGTGTGTTTTGAATCTAGCCTAGCTTCCATTGCGGTCCTGGGAGGTGACGGTGGGGGAGTCCTGGGCCTTCAGTACCCGTTCGCAACTGTGTTTCAATTGTTGCCCCTTGTCCGTTATTTTCGGTTGTTGCAGTTGGTCACGTGGCTGGGCTCCCTGATCGGCTTCATGTGGCTGCCCAATACGGCACTGTACGGATACGCCCAGTTTGCCAGATACGCCAGCGGTGTCTTTCTCATCTTACAGCTGGTGCTGCTCGTCAACTTTGTGTACGAGGTGCGGTGGGGGGTTAATGTCGGTTTGGCTGCCGCGCCGCGTTTGTACGCCTTGCTGCGCCTCCACCACCATCACCTCCACCACCACCACCATGATCATAATCAGTAAAGCCACTACCGTCACTATAAACGGCAGCACCGGCTTGCGATTACTCCCCCCCTGCATGGGGACCCCTGCTGGGGCTCACATGGGCCCTACGTGCCCCTCTGCAGATCAACGAGTGGCTGGTGGAGAGGGACACGCGGGCCGCCTGGGCGGTGCTGGTGGGGGGCACTGCAGTCAGCTTTGGGGGGGGACTGGTAGGTGTGGTGGGGTGGGGGGTGGGGTGGGTGGTAGGGGGTAGGGAAGGAGGGATTGGGGCTGTGGTTGGCGTGAGGTATGCTGCGTTTAAGGCGCTCGCTTCGTTGGTCGATTTGTCTGTGTGTGTATTCCTGTGCTGCTGGCTTCGGATCGGGTCGGGTCAGGAGGGCTACGGACTGAGCCCGGACTGGAGTGGAGGCGCTGCGGCCCCCAGGTCGCCGGGGGTACTGGCTGTGCTGTGCCCCTCTCCCCGCCCCCACCCCCACCACCATGCTGGGGTCCCCCGGGGGTACCACTCTCGCATGACAAGAACGGTCGCCTCTCTCTGATCATCACTGCCAAGCCGTCCGGGGATCACCACTACCGCGGCAACGTTTATCCTCCCATCCCCTCCCCTCCCCTCCCCTACGCACATCACATCACTGGACCGCATTTCGCCGCCCACCCCCTCGTGGGGGCCTTCCCGCCCCCGGTGCCCCCTCCCCCGCTCTCCGCAATTTGGACACCCCACCACCTCGTTCTCCATCCTCCTTGCACATGGGTGTGTGTTTCGGTCCCCCAGGTCCTGACGGGCATCACCTACCACTACTACGCCCCAACCGGCTCGTGCTCACTCAACCTGTTCTTCATCACCTGGAACCTGGTGGTGGGGCTGCTGCTGGTGGGGGTGCTGTTCGTGCCCGGTAGGGCCCCCACCGCCGGGCTGCTCACCTCGGGGGCGGTCTGGCTCTACTGCTCCTACCTCACCTACTCGGCGCTGGCATCTGAGCCAGCCAACCGCTGCGTGCGGGGCGGCGGTGTCAGCGCGGGCGGTTGGGTGGGGGTGGTGGCGTTCTTCATCGCCCTGGCCGCCGTCATCTATACGACTCTGGATGCAGGTATGTATTTATGTATGTATGAATGTAGTAGCTAGGTACGCGCAGCAGGATGCGTTTCCTTCATTCTTTCTTCTTTGGAGGCTTTGATGGTGGTGGCGGTGGTTGCTCGGGCCCGGTCGGGGCTATCGACACCGGTCTTCCGGAGGCCACATGGCCGGATGAGCTGACGACCGGGTCTGACCTGACCTTTGCGATTGCTTTGGTTTTCGAGCTTCGCCCTGGCGTTCGCACCTCTGATCACTGCTACATCCTGACCACAGGCGTTTCAAGCCGGGACATGTTCGGGGGGGGCAAGAGTGCAGCAGGCTCTGGAGGTGATGACGACTCACAGGAGCTGCCGTACCGTCCCGACTTCTTCCACTTGGTGTTTGCCACCGCCTCCTGCTACCTGGCCATGCTCTTCACCAACTGGGCCGTCAGTCAGTCCACCACCGCCTTTGAGATCGACAAGGGCTGGGCCAGTACCTGGGTCAAGGTGGCGAGTGGCTGGGTGTGCGCGCTGCTGTACGGCTGGACGGTCATAGCCCCGGCTGTCCTCAAGGACCGGGATTTTGGATTTCCCGTTTGAGGGCCCGACCTGCACCTGCTCGGGGCCCCACCAGCACCAGCACATTGGTCTATTTTCGCTCCTATGCGGGGTGACAGGGGGCAGGGGGGCTCTTGGGCTAGCAGATACCGGGTGGTGCTCGGAGCCACCACTAAGTTCCTCCCAGTGTTTGCTCCCACCCAGCGGGCCCCGCGGTGTGGGGCTAGGTTGGACAACACTGGGTGCTCCCCTTTTGGGGGGGAAGGGGGGAGGGTGTTCGCAGGAGTCTGGGCAGGGCAGGGCAGATCGCGATGGCTCATTACTCACGTGCAGATGATTTTGTGTGCGTTGTGGTGTGGTGTGGTGCGGTGTGGTGAAGGCTCAAGATTTATTTTGGCGCCATCGTGATTGCGGGGTACACCCACCAGAGGGGGGGGTTGCCCGGAAAGTAATAATACACGAAACGACCGAAAGAAAGAAAAGAGACGCCTGGATGGAAGAGATCTTAGTACTTAAATGGATGCTCCGATGGCTGAACTCGTCCAGCGGCCCTAAATCCTTTCTGAGGGGTTGTACGGGTGGCGGATGTGCGAATAGGGTTACTCCGAGTGGGCCGCGAGTACACCCCCCCGTGTATTTAATAGTTTTTAATAGTGTGCTGTGTGTGTCTTGTGCACGGTTGCGAACCACAATGGCAAGCCGAGGGGGAGGAAGTGGCTTGTTCTGGCGCCAACTGCTTTCCAGGTAGACAGACAAACAGACAGACAGTGTTACCCGGGTACTCAGTATCCGCACTTTTAAGGGAGGAGAGCTCTTTGGCGGCATCCGCCAGTCACGAAAGAAAGGAGAGGAGAGGAGTGTGGACTTTCCATGCGGCCCTTTGGCCAGGCGAGTGTCTCTCGGAGTGCCGTTCCCACCCCTCACCAGCTACCTAGTCTCTACCTGCTGCTCCCGTGTTCCAGTCCGTACTCCTGTTCCCTCTGATATCATACCGCGCACTTGCACTCTAGAGGCCACATAGGCGGGCGGGACCCGGACCTGGGGACGGTCCTCCCCGTATGCGGATCCGTCAATCCGCCCGGTACACCCAATGAGTCGTGTTACACACCACCCTGCATGGCTGCAAAACCCGAAAAGGGGAGTGAGCCCAACCCAAGCACCCCTCATGTCCGAAACGACCACCACATTCGCATCCTGCCGGGTACAGATTAGAAACAGCGGTTTCCAAAGCGGCTGTTTCGGCCTTTCCAGTGTGTGTCCTCTATGTGGTGGTGGTGGCGGCGGTGGTACATCCCGGCAGCCGCCTACCGACATTGGGAGTACGTCAACCGGGGGCATGGCCGCTATTTGGCCTTCTTCCTGCCCCCTCCCCCTCCGCCCCCTGCACCACCTCCTCCCCCACCGCCCCTGGAGCTCACATTCCAGGGTAGGGTAGGTTTCTTAGCACTGAGCTTCCCGAGCTGCTGCTCCACCGCGGTGGCCACCTGGGGGGTGAGGGCTGTGGGGCCGTGCGCCTCCTGTCGTACACATCAGGACCACCAGATGCCAGCAAACAACGGCGAGGAGGAGGAAGGTACCGTCCGGGTAGGACCACCCGCACCCCCCAGGTGCGGTGCACCGTATATGCATCAGTAGTGGGGGAAAGGGTCCTCGTTAATGTGGGGAACGTGTACGTGGGTAGGGCTTGCGGTCGGGGCAGCATGTGGCGGCGGCAGCAGCACGGCAGTGCCAACGAGGAGAAGTGCGGGTCGCAGTCAGTCCGATGTCTTGGAGCCCCATATGAGGCCCCCGCGCTAGAGGGCTTCCTGGAGTACACCCCCTCCGCACACATACGTACATTTATACCCGACCCAACCGCACCTTGATGTGGTGCAAGATGCTGTCCTCCCGGTAACCCAGAATGCGCCCAATCAGAAGCTTGTAATACGGCGACTGAGCTTCCAGCGCTGCCTGTGGCAAGCGGCCACATCAGCCACGTCATCATCATCGTCATCGTGCGGCTCTATTCGGCGATGAAGCATGCATGGTGGGGCCCCGACATGACGGGGTCTCCAGTCACCTCTTTTCACGCACCCCTAGCACCCACCATCACCATCTAGGCCCCCAGGGTTGCGAAACCTTCTATGCACACTCCAAATTGCCCTTCCCACTCCAAATTGCCCTCCCTCTTCGCCTCCTGAGCCACATGGACCACAGCCCCCCTTTCCCCCGGTCAACGCTGGGCCCCGTGGAGACCACGTCACATCGCAGCTTGCGGGTCCCAACCAACCTGGCAACCGAAACTGGCCAGATGTGCACCCCACGACCGGAAGGGCTCCCTGTCCCCGCACAGCACCAGAGTCATGCCGTACGAAGGGTTACCGACCGCAGATCCCGGCACCGGGGCGCTGCTGACGTACGACACAATGTCTGGACGCTCCAGCGCCTCCCGTAGCAGACGCAGTACGAGAGGCTTGTACGGTCCGTACGGCGGGACATCCTCGTGCGCCCCCCATCCTATGTGTAGCTGTAGCAGCACCACCCCCCGGCGCCCCTCCAGCAGACTGGCCACCTCCCCCGCCGTCATCACCGCAAGGTTGTCCTCCGCGGGGCCCCGGTCAGAGGGGCCTGCGGGTGTGGGGGTGTGGGGGGTGGGGTGGCGGTATGACGAAGCACAGACGATAAATGACGGAAAGGAAAACACATAGACGGATACTCCAATACTAGGGGGGTTGGGGGTGTCAACCGGCCCCAACCGCAGCAGAGCCACAGTGCCGTACATACAGTTGCAAAAAGGAGCAGATGAACGGTTGGAGGGGTTTGCCTTCCAAGACACACCGAGACACACACATACACACACAGGCGGCAGGGAACATAGGACCCCCCGAGGAGCGTTGAGTTGCGGCTCCCGTGCGGGTGCGTGGGAGGTAAGAGATTGCCCCTGCAGTGGTAAGACTAGCAGCACCCGCACCAAGACGCCTACACCGATCCTGTTCGGTTGCCCCCAAGTAGCCACCACGGCATTCATGTACCGCTGTGTAAGAAGCCCCGTGCCGTACGCCCCAAAAACAAAAACATTTCATAAGGCCCTATTTCGTCTCTTCTCATTTACCACTCGACCCCTAACACCCCGTAACACCGGGTCCTGTCCTCCTGGTCATGTCAGCCCCAACCCAAGGGCCCCATATCCCCCAGACCCTCCGTAAGACAAGCCCCGGGCGGCTCCTCTCCCCCTCAGCCCCCCTCCAGGGAGCCCCACCTGAGCCGTCACACCAGGCACCCGGATGGCTGGCAGCCGCCCCCCTCAGCTCGTCCAGCGACATCACCCGCCGCACCACGGCCACCCGGACACCGTCCAGTGTCGAACCAGCAGCAGCAGCAGCAGTAGCAGCAGGGAGGGGTTGGGCAGCTGGCGGTTGCGGCTGCTGCTGCTGGTGTGCTGGGGACGTGGAGGCTGTTGCAGTCAGTTGTGGTAGTTGCGGTGGCCGCAGCAGGCGACTCGCCAGAGGTGCCCAGGCCCGCAACGCAGCTGCATGCTTCCGGGGCGGGGACTGCAGCAGCTGTAGCAGTGCTCGGAGCGGGTCACTACTGCTGGTACCGCTACTGCTAGTGCTGATGGCGGGAGGAGACAGCGCCCCTGCCGGATACACAGCGGGCAGTAGAGCGGTACTGGGAATGGTAGGGGGTTGTTGTGCAGGAGGGTGGCGGGGGGAGACCATTGGGCCCTCCCCGGTGCGTCTATATCCCCAACGGGTCAAGGGAGGGGAAGGGAGAGGAGGGAAGGGGAGTGAAGGGGGGGGGTTGTGCCGTGTGTGGTTCACAACCGGTAGACACACCAGCTGTGCTGTGCAGCGAGGTGCCATCTGCCGCCTGGGGTGCGCACTGACCAGCGAACGAACTATCTCACAGTCATACTAGGTGGACCACAGCTCTGGTAAGCCAACCATTCTGCTGCACCGTTGGACGCCCGTTTTCCAGCAGTGATGTGGCGGTTGTGGTCGTTGGACAGTGCAGGGCCAACAGACAGACATGCAAACCGATCGACAGGCAGACGGCCAACGCGAACGCGAAGGCTCCCTCACCTCCTACGGCTTCCAGAACCAGACTCTCTGGAGGCCCATCGCCGCCCGACTCTTGCTGCACAGAACTACTCCCCGCCTCCGAAGCTGCTGCCTCCGCCGCCCCCCGCGCAGCAGCGGTACGGACTCTGTACCTGATGCCCTGGCACAGGAGCTGCGGTGGGCTGATGGACCCCTCCCGCCGCGCTCCCACCGGGTTGGATGGGGGCACTTGTCTGGTACGGGGAGCAGGTAGCCCTGCCAGGACCTCCGCATACACGTATCGGCCGTCAGCGAGCTGTAGTCGCAATACGTCCCCATCAGCCCAGGGAGAGGGGGATACGTGCCCAGAAGCAGCGCCCGCTGCATCTGTCGCTGTCAGCCTCAAGCAGGCTGCCTCCGAGGATAACGACGCGTGCGCCACCAGCTGCCCGCCGCGAGGGCGCAACTCAGGACATGACGATGTGTTGAATAAACAAGGCATTGGTGCCAGTTTGTGAGGAGGAGCGCGTGTGCACGCGCAGGGACTCCTCGACCAAACCCAAACCGACGACTTGCACGCGAAACGCGAGTGACTTTGTAAAGACATTGGTGCGTGGCAGGTTTATTTTGATCGGATTTTGTAGGTATATCCACGCTGCTACCTTTATGGGCAACGGTGGCCCACAAAGACATCGCAGATGGAAAATCCAGCAGTAGTACGGCCCTCAGTAACTTTGCTCGGATTTTCCCACAGGCAAGGAGGTATTTGATGCAGCTGCTAAGGCATTGGTTAAAATTAAACCTGCGCGCTTCTAGATGTATGACGATGAAAGCTGCTGGTGACGGATTCTTCTATTGACTCCCCGACAGATAGTTAATGGCTTATTTATAACAGGTACATTTTTATTTAGCAATAGTGATGGCCCTACACAACTCTGCAAATGTGATGTACCTGGAAAGTTTCATAGAGAGCACCGGGAGCCTCCCGACTGAGCTTCAACGCATCCTCAACACCATCAAAGCCCTTGACGAAAAGTGCAACGACTTGTCGTCAGAATTGCAAGCCAACGTGAGCGTGTTGTTGGGGATGCCCCATGCACACCAGCAACCGGCAGTCAGTCCGGAGTATGAAGAGCTGGTTTCGCGAGTGGCAGGAGCACAGAAGATGCTGGTGCAGTTTGCAGAGGAGAAAGTGCAGTTGGCACAACAGGCACACGACCTGCTGGAGGTGCACGCACTGGAACTGGAGCGGGTTACAGACGACCTAGATAAGGAGCTGCGGCGGAACAATCCCGATGCAGGCCTGGAGTATCTCCAAGACTTTGCACTGGACACTACACGGGGGAAGACACCGCGGCTTGAGGATTTCAATATGTCGTTGCAGCAGGAGCTGTCCCTGCCGCCCGCCCCTGCCCCGCCACCCAAAAAAGCCGCCGCGACGCAGAATGTGGCCAGCAAGGGCAAGCGGCCTCGGGACGAGGACGGGGTGGCAGGTACAGGGGCAGTAGGTGGCGGTGCTGGAGGCGGTGGGGGACAGCAGGCCCCCGTGAAGAAGAAGGCGGCAGTTGCAGCCATGCAACTGAGCTCGCAGGTAGGGCAAGTGGAGGCCCAGGAGTGTGTGGAAATACGATCATAAATATCATACTGGTGGCGCCCTTTACTACTGGAGTCCCTGACGCGGGGATTGTCGAACCCCACGTCAAACGGGCCGACTGTCTACGTAGCTGCACCTGCCAGGTCGTACGACCATGCCGTACGCGAGCATCGGCCCAGCCACAGGGAGCGCAACAGCGCAACCTTGTCCCTCCTTCGGCTAACGAACGGAGCAAACACGAACTCTGTCCAACGCGTCCACACGCTTTGCCACGGTCCTTGTTCCCCTCCTGCTTCCTGAACTTGGGGCATTCAAGAGCCAACTCAACTTCAAACACGTCGTCTATCGCGTCCCGCTGCTTCTCTCCCTTTATCCCGCTCCCAGCCCTCCGCGTTTGAGGACTATCCGCTGGACTCATTACCCGCTTACGAAGAGCCCGTGGCGGCGGAGGCCCCCGTGCCCTTCATGCGGCCACCACCCGCCGGTAAGGAGTGCTGTGCTATGTGGGGGAGGGCACTGCACCCGCTGGTATCGGGACATGGCTGTTTCCGTACACATGGCACCACGTCGATGAACATGTAAACTAGGGTTCCCTTTTCCTTGCACCGGCATTGTGGCCGGCACCCCTCACGTTGTTTGGTTCGTTGCCTTGCAGGCTACAAGTCGTCGTCTTCCCGACCCCAGGCCGCTACGGGTGGTCTTGTTCGTTACTTGTGTCCCGAAGACATCCGGGAGGACCTGGTGGGGCGACATGCAGAGCTGTTCTGGCCTGATGACAACCTCTGGTACCTCATTGAGATACAGGTGGGTGTGGGTGGGTGGGTGTGGGTGGGTGGGTGTTGGGGTGGGGAGGGACTGGGAGTTGCTGTGCTGTGAGGTGGCGGAGGAGGATCTAAGCCAGACGTGACACCTGGGATGGGTGTTTACGCTGTATACAGGTAACCCTAGCAGAGCAGGTTCTGGGCTGCAGACCCAGCCGGCCTCTTTACCAACAATCAGGATGATCCTGCTGCTACTGCTGCTGCTTTGAGCTGCTGGACCCAGCCAGCCTTCCCGCCGTCCACAATCCCTATATAATGCTGCGGCTGGTCCCCTGAATCCCCTATCTTCAATCCTTTCCTGCCCTGCCCTGGAATCGTTTTGCCGGGGGAATCCTCTCACCTCAACCCGCTTCCTACCCCTCCGACCGCACGGTACCGGCACCGCGCAGGAGGTTAACGTGACCACGCGGGAGGCCCGAGTGCTGTACTCCACCGGGGACTTCGAAACCCTCAATTTGGAGGAGACGGCTCGGGACATGCACATGGTGGGCGGGTGGGGGAACCAGCTGGGTGCCGCCCCGCGACTTGGCTCATTACACAGGGTTTACACATTTAGCGTTGTTTAGGTATGTTGCGCATGTGTATATCAACAAAAAGCCCTCCAACGAAACGGCTCGGCAGCCAGTCAGCCGTGGGAAGCATACAGACCACCACAACATGCGTTCACAGTGTACGCCGAAATGACCTATGTGCCTCCCGTGAAACAACCTTAACACAACACCCTGCACCTGTTTTGTTTTCCGCCTCGTGACGTGTTCATGCTGGCGGGTGTCCATGAATTCTCACTTCACGAAAAGCCACAAGATTGGTCCCACCCGGGCAACCTTCTCCTGCTTTCCCGCCACAGGTCCTCATTCCGGATCAGCTCTACTAGGGGCACAGCAGGAGCACACCCCAGCAGCTGAGCTTGTGAATACGAATGGTACGGACGCTTGGAGCTTCAGTTCAGTGTTTATCCACACTGTGTGGATAGAGTCTCAATACTCGGCCGAACGGATCCTGATGTACTATAGATTGCCGTACACTCCGTAATGCCGGGGTGGCGGTCGATTTGGCTGTTGCTGATGATGTAGTTGCCCCGCCAGCGTGGCGGTGGACGTTGCCGCCAGGCGCGAGGCTAGGGACGCGCCTTGCCCGGCATCTGATAAAATCTGCTGACTTTGCGGTGCGGGCAGGGATTGTTGCTGGGTTGCAGTGGCAGCCTGCTGCTGCTTTTCGCGAAGATCGTGGAGGTGACAGACAGCCTCGTGTACCTGAATGAATGCATTATATCCCGTGTATCAAGTCCACTTCGGAAGCGCGGAGAATGTAAGACTGACCTTGCACTCAATGTCCTGTGCAACGCGTCCATCGGTGCTTGTCAGTATCTCCCAGACTAGGCGGGAAGCTCTCTCCACCAGTCTATCCCTAAAAATAAGGAAAGGACATTCCGGGGTCAGCTCTGTAAATACTCGGCATAGCTGTCCCAAGGGCCGCAAGATACTTGAGTTCATTCTGTAGGTCCTCAAGGAGCTTCTTTCGGTCCTTGCATGCTTTGGCACTATCTCCACTGAGAGTCTTGCTGTTGTCGACCTGCTCACGAACGTAATCCCGTAAAGCGGAGCTTTGCCGCAGCTCCTCGAACACCTGCAAGTAAATGAAATCTTATATAACTGCACCAGCTGTCCTTTATTCAACAGATGGTACTCACGTTCTTTCGGATGTCGTCAAAGGCGCCGCTGTCAATTACTTCCTTAACGATGCGGCTGCCTTCCTCAATCGGAGACCCCATCTAAGGAAGCCTGGCAAATCACCTCTTGCTAGGTACATAACAGGAATAACGACTACAACAAAGTGCACTCTTCCCCCTCTTCTCCAGAAGCAGTTAGGAAGCCTCGCCTAGAGGTCCAGCTAGCTATTACGGTGCGACGATGTAGGTTAACCTCGAAATAGCTGCAATCCCGCATGTTAATCGCGTGACTGTTGACAAGACTGTACAGCTGCCCGTTTCGTCCTCTACATTCGTACTGGCTTTGTATGTTACGAGCGCCATGCGAAACTCACATCTTTATCAAGATTACGACGGCTACGTCGTAAGCACTTTCAACGTGGCAGTGATGACATGTGCGGTCAAGAGGACGTGTCAACGCTGGCAAAGCCGGCCGTGCCGGGGACAAAGCCACATCATCCACTCTGCCGCGGATACAACATGACACCCATGTATTGCTTACACTACCCCCCTCCCCTGTACACGTGAAGTGCGGTCCCTCCCGCCGTGTCGATCAGCACCACCAACCCAACTGAGGTCCGGATTGCCCACGGGACACGACACCCGAGCAGGGCACCGGCACGGGATGCGGTCTGCCACGGCTCACTATTATGTGGTAGCACCCGCCACCAGTTATCTTGGGTACACTGACTGCTTCGAAAACGACCGGACCTGTATCGCCTTCGGCAGGAAACCCGCTGCTGCTTTTGGAGTTTAGTTCGGTTCCTCGTCCACAACCCACAACCCACAACCCACAACCCACAACCACTGCGCGAAGCCGCTTATCAATGAAGCCAGCTAGGCAGCGGTGGAGAGGCCGCTGGGCGGGAACCCCTATCTGCGATAGTTCGGCCTGCGCCGTACGGTGCCCTGTGAGGCCCCTGTGGCGGCATTGGCTGACTGAGTGTACGGCAGGGTCCGAGTGGCGGTGCGACGGTGAACGGGGCCACCCGCCGCGGCAACAGAGAACCCGGTCGCAGAAGTTCAGTTCTGAGAGGGCACTCTTGAGGAGATATCGTACAGTTTGCAACAGTCAGGATATACCTGCAAACTTCCTCGCCTGCTCATGAGCCGCCAACCTGGCTGTACTGCACGCAGGAGTGCCCACAACGGTCAGCCAGCCCGAGTCAATCTCCATTCCTTCATAGCGCTGTTTCAGCTATTATCTCTACAACAGCTGAAGAGCCACTTCCCACAACTTGGACCTGAGCCTGGCCCTTGGCCCGAGCTGCTGCCGCCGCCAGCCGCCACTAGGTCCACAGCCGCCACTTGGTATGAGTCCAAATCTGCAGCTCGTAGGGCCATCGTCTGTCCACTCGTCCAACATGTGCCGTACATCGTAGTACAGCTCAAACAGGCCCCACAGCACTACATCACAAATCCTAACAAAAGAGCACAACGATGGTGACACGATAACCGACCGGTACAAACGAAACGATTCATAAAACAGTTCGATGACCCTCTAGCTAGCTAGCTAGCTAGTAGTACCGCCCCGAGGGCGAGTGGACCGCCTAGAGGGACCTTCATGCGGCGGTGCCAGTTTAGGACTCCACATCACAACAGCCGGGCACCGCAACGGGGCAGTGGGAGCAAATAGAGCAAAACAAATCCAGCACTCGCTCCATCAGGGAGCTGAGTACGGCACAAATGAGAAACAGCATATCAACCAATTATCCTTTAGCTGTACTTGGCTTTTATCCTTACCTCAAAAATATGAGTATCGTACAGCATGACGTACGAGAACGAAACCGTTAACGCCATCAAAATATGAAAAACGACGACGGCAATCATCGTCGGCCACCAGAGAAGCACACGAGCGCGTCCGTTGCCGTTGTGGTCGGCGCCCAGCAACACACACACACACACACACACACACACACACACTCCAAACCATTTCTTATGACATACTTTTCAACATTCCGTACAGAACTCAGCGGCCACCATCACCGCCCCGGACAGCCCTGTCTTCCCTACTGTTGTTCGGCGAGCAGCACGAGGCGTCGCAACATGGGGCCGGACCCTGGTCCCCGCCGTGCTGCAATTCCACGTGCAGTACGACAGCAACAGCGTCACAGCATCCATTAATGCACAATCTTAAAATGATTGACTCATAAGGATAAAAACGAAACGAAACGGTTAGCAACATGCGTCCCCCCAAGCAGGTACGAGAATGCGCCGTGGGAAAATTCAGCCGTAAGCGCAAGAGCTCCTCCACGTGTGTGTGTGTGTGTGTGTGTGTGTGACATGCGTTTGTTAACAAACAGAATCAACCTAAAACCCACCTCTCCGAAACCAAAATCCCCCCGACAACCGGGGGAGTTGAATAGCCGTACATAGCCACACCCGTGTCGGTCATTCAATACCCTTACCATAGCAGCAGGCCGCAAACTAGCCGACTGACCCACGGGTCAGCCCCTGGAGGTGGCATCCGCATCCGCATTCAGCCCACTGTCCACTTGAGCCGAGCCATCCGTCGTACAAGGTTCATCCCCCCCCGGCCCCTCTACACCCGCCCTGAGCCGCCCCTCCGCCACCTCCCGGCTCTCAGTGCCGAAAGCCGCAACCCGTCCTCTCCTCCCGCCAACCCCGCCACATGCCCCTGCCGCAGCCAGCGCCACATCCACCCCGGAGGGCACCACACCGCCGCCACCTCGCTCTCCGCCGCCGCACCCGCCCCTGCTGGCACCGCCGGCACCGCTGCCGTACCCAGCCCCCAGGGCCTCTTTACGGCGGGAGCCCGAGTTCCCCCCGGCCCCCCCGCCCCCACCATCGGGCCCCGCACCCCCACCTCCTCCTCCTGCCCTGCTCGGGACCCAGCCCCCCGCCTCTGAAGCCGCCGCCCCCCCCGCCTCACTCCCCTCCCCCTCCCCCTCCCCCTCCGGCACCCTCGCACCCCTCCGCGACGCAACCCCCGGTCGGCCCCCCGCCACTCCAGACCTGGCTGCCGTACCACCGTTGATGCTCGTCCAGTGGTTGGCGCCGCGGGCACTGTCATTACCATCGGCGCGGCTGCCGCCGTTCTCAGACTGCTCCGGACGACTGCCCGCGGCGGCGGCGGCGGCGGCGGCCCGACGACCTGCCCCCGCCCCCACCACCACCCCGGCCCAGTGACTGCCCGCACCGCCCGCCGTCCCCCCTCCCGAGAAGCCACTCGCCATGGACTCCGTTGCCGTATGTGTGGCGGTTAGGCGGTTGCTTCCTCGGTTGCTGTGCTGCTGACGTGGCGCGACGGGCTGTGTCGTTACGAGGGAAACCGCGGAGTGCATCGTATTGGAGGGAGGGGGTTGCCGGGTAGGCGGTTGGCGGTTGGCGGGGAGAGAAGCAGTAGCAAAAGACGAGTAGGTGGCAGGTAGGTGTTTCAGGTCCGACAGCATCAGCTTCAGCACATGAACAAAATGTCCCCAGGGGTGGGCGGTCCCCAGGTGGGCACACAGCAGAGCTGACAGGGTACGTCGCATGGCGGGGGACGCAGGCGGGAGCGGCTTCACCCGAGTGCCAAAGGGTCTGGTCGGGGTCCCGCTCCTCGTCGTGGCTCCCCACGACCCTCCCCTCCCCGGCCCCCCAGGGCCCCTCGACCGCTCACATAGGGATCGCCCCACGGGGCCCCTCCCCCCCTTTGACACAACCCACCTTGAACGCCGAGGACTGCAGCAAGCGGGTGGTAGCTAACAGCACCGCCTGCTGGTGCTGGCGGGCCGCCGCCGCCGCCGCAGCCGCCGTATGATGGGGGCCGGCAGTAGGGCCCACGGGGCCAGCACCGGCGCCGGCGGCTGGGTGCGGCAGCGGCAGTGCCAATCCCTGCCCCCCCGGGAATCCGGGTAGTTGCAGCGGGAGCGGGAGCTGAAACGGTGAAAGGTGTCCGCCACCGCCGCCGCCAACAGTGCCGCCGCCGCCGCCGGGTGGCAGTTGTTGTAGCGGAGGGGGACCCAGGTTGGCGGAGGCGAGCAGTGCAGCGACAGCCGCCGCCGTGGCGGGGTCTGCCGCCGCCAGCGCCGCCGCCGCCAGCAGCGGCGGGCCGCTGGTGTTCGCCGCCGCCGCCGCCAGCATCTTGCCACGCTTCTTCAGGGGCGGGAGAGGCAGACCAAGCATGCCCCCGGCGGCAGCGGCGGCACTGAGCGGCTGTCCGGATCCCGTCAGTGGCCCCGGTGGGCCCGCAGTCCTGTAGGAAGCAGAGGAACGTCATCGGGGAGTGCGGCTTCAGCAGGTTGTGATGACGGGAGTGAACCGGGTTCTCAGCGACTTCGAGGGTTACGGAGATACGCCCCACTTGAAAGCGGTGATCCACCCGGCCGAGGTCTCCCGACTGCCCTCCCGCAACGTGATGTGAAGTGTGTGGTGCGGCCCACGGGGTGCCCTCCATCACGTGGTACCCTCACCCACCTGCCCTCTTCCCCCGCCGCCTCCGCCTCCTCCGCCTCCACCTCGGCCTCCGCATCCAATACGGGTGAGTTGCCCAGCGCCTGTACCAGGTGAGCGAGTGTGTGTATGTGTGTGCAGTAGGTGGAGGTGACTAAGTGGGCGGCCCCAGTCGGGTCATGTCATGTCATGTCGGGGCGGGGACGGGGCCACCCGGGGAGGGGAGAGCCCCCCCTGGGTACTCCCGAGCACAGCAGCAGCAGCAGCAGCGGGGGACTCCTCTTTCCGGTCTCCGCCGCCACATCACCAGCTGAGGCCGCAGGGACAACAACACGGTGCCCCAGCGAACATACACCTCCACTCGACCCCACCCCCTGCTAACCAGGATACCGCCCACCTGCGGGTCCACCAGCCCCAGCTCTCCGAAGGCGCTGTTGGGATCCCGCCACCACCGGCTCACGGGGCCCAGTGGGGCGGGCGGGCAGGGGGCCCCAGCGGGGCCGCAAACCGTACTCGGGGGGGGAGCGGGGCCGGGAGCGGGAGAGGGAGCAGCACCAAGGCCGAGTCCCGGAGTGCGCTGCCCTCCCTCGCCACCCACATCAGCCGCACACAACTCCACCGCCACCTCGGGAGGCTGTTGCGGCTGCTGCTGAGGCAACTCAGGCGGTTCTGCTGCCGCTGCGGCGGCGGCGGGGTGACTCGCACGGGTGGCCGCCGTACCATCCACAGCAGCAGAGGCGGCGGCGACAGCCGTACCTCCCGCAGTACATGTAATGGGGCCCCCGGTTGTAACGCCAACACCACCACCAGCAGCCTCACCAGCAGGAGCGGCATCAGCCACGGCGGCAACCTCCAAACCGTTTTCCTTACCGTTACCGTTAGTATCGTTGCCCTTACCGGAAAGCTGCTCGTCGTCCTGAAGCTGCTGCTGCTGCTGCCCTTGCGTCGCAACCTGAGCGACCCCCGGCGGCAGCGCCCCTACCTGCGCCGCCGCTGCCGTACCAGCAGCCGCCGCCCCCGCCACGTGCTTTGCAAACCAGGCCTCGTGAGGGTCCATTTGTACGGCAGGCATGCCGGCATAAGACTGTACGGTAATAGGTGGTCCTGGAGCCTGCATGTACGGCAATATGTGACACACGGGACGGGACGGGATTGGCTTCCTGCTGTGTTGGTGGATGACTCGGTGATAGCAGGGCTCGAGGTGGTGTTTAATCGGTGGACATTCGCCCAGTGGTCAGCTGTGCATGTGTGTTACACACGGTGATTTAGGCCGACAAGTGGGCAGTGGAGGGGCTTACCGGCAGAGGCGGCATCCCGAGCCGGGATGCGAATAGCGGCGGCAGCGGCGGCGGCATGGCGCCGAAGCCACCACATCCACCGGGCGCTGCCGTCGCTCCTCCCGTCCGGGTCCCGCCAAATCCCGGTCCCGACGGGCGGTACGGCGGCGACAGCAGCAGCTGCCCAGGCGGGGGAGGCAACATCAGCCCTACTTGACCAACATGATCCGGGGGTCGGACAAACCCAAAACCACCGCCACCGCCACCGCCACCTGTACCAGCAGCATTAGCCGTAGCCGTAACAGAGGGCGGCGGCGGCGGCATGGAGGTGCCCGGCAGTGGCAGTTGCAACGTTGGCAGGGCCGGAGCAGTGGACAGGGGCGACTGGTGCTGTTGCGGCTGGTGAGGAGGGGGAGGTGGCGGAAGGACAGCGGAAACCCCTGCAGGGGCAGGCGGGACCTGCAGCGATAGCGCCGCCGCTGCCGCCGCAGCTGCTGATGCTCCGGCTGCTGCGGGTACTGCAACTGCGGGAGCTGATGACGGTAATGGTGGTGGCGGCGGCTGTGGCGGCGCCAAGGGTGGCCAGGGCACCCAGGACATAGGGTCCACGGCGGAGGGCGGAGAGGGCGTACCAGGAAACTGCGATACAGGCAATGACGGCGGCGGCGGCGGCGCCAAGGGCCGAAAGCGGCTGCCCCCCGCTCCGAAACCAGGGCTGTGGGAGGCGGGAACAGCAGCAAACGCGCCATAGGGACCGCCTACGTTAGAACCCGCCTGCTGCTGCTGCTGGCCGTGGCTCGGCGGTTGCGGTTGCGGCGGCGCTGCGGCTGCTGCCGCCACCGCGGCGGAGGTGACGTCCTCAACAGCGGCCGGGGCATGTGGTGGCTGAGGCGGTGGCGCACCTCGTCCCGTGGGCCGGGGGTCCCCGGGGGGAAGCGGCACATCTTGGGGCAGCGGAGGCGCAGGAAGGTGGTGATGAAGCTGCCCAGCCAGTAACCCGCCGGCGCCGGCAGGCACGGGCCTGCTGGTCCCGGTCCCCCTCCTCTCCCCCAGCTCTCCCTCCCGCTCCCTGCTATGTCGCAGCTGCTGCACCACCGTGGGCTGTTCGGAGGGCGCCGGTCCGTCCCCGTCCATCATGGTGTACAGCTTGGAGGCAGCGGGACGAACAACAGCGGCACCGCTGCCACCGCCAGCTGCGGCTGCAGCCTCCCCTGGCGCCGCACCGGCAGTAGCTCCCCCGGCGGGGGCCACTGGGTCCCTCGGAGCCAGAGGTGGCGGCGGGAAGGCTCCGGGTCTGGGCAGGCGCTCGGGGGGCACTCGCAGTAGCACCTGGGGGGGGGGAGGGGGGGAAGGACGAACCACGAACGAGTGAAGCTGCTGCCAGGGCAAGAGTGTACCAAGAGTAGAACTGACCAAGGAGGGGGGGGAGGGGGAGGTGGAGGGCCGAGGAGAGGGGGGTATCGGGGGGATGTTCGCACACCTTGCACACGACAGCGACTGCCGCGGGATGTCCAGCTGCAGCTGCAGCGGGGGCGGGGGCAGTACAGGGGGACGGCACGACTGCCGGCGGGGGCAGGGAGACCCGCCGCCGCAATGAATTGCACATCACCACCACTACCACCACCACATCAACACAGATGTCTCCTCCTCCTCCTCCCTCCCCGAACCCTCCTCTACGCCCCCCAGGTGCCTCCCTCCCTTACCCCGCCACATACCCCCCCCTTCCCTCCCTCTCCCCAACCCCACCTTCTCCCTCAACGTGCGCGGCACATTGACCAGCAGCTGCAGGTCCAGCAACAGCCGCTCCATCAGCTGCTCCGGTGACAGCAGGGGCGGAAAACACCTCCTCAGGGGGGCCTCCACACCGTCTGATGCTGCTGCTGCCGCACCTCCATCGCCACCACCACCACCACCTGCAGCTTCACCTCCTCCGTCTCCTCCTCCTCGCTGCTGCATGGCCCCGCCAGGTAAGACTGCGGTCGCCAGACCCCCGGGAACCTGACACATGCCAGGAGCGGTAGCAGTCTTAGCTGCAGCGCTGGCGGCAGCAGGGGCAGGAGGCGGGGGGGGTGGGGGAGGGGCAGGCGCAGGGATGGGACCCGTGGGCCCGAACCCAGCGAAGCCCGCTGCCCTGCACGCCGCAGCCATACCGAGCGGATCCACCACCCCCAGCTCCGACCACAGCGCCTGTTGCACACGCACCAGCTTGTGCAGCTCACACAGCTGCTGTACGAATACGGATTGCTGACGCATCATGGTAGCGCGTACGGCAGTAAAGCCCGCCTCGCCCAGCAGCGCGCGTAGGGCGGGTTGCTGCTGCGTGTCGCCACCGTGGCCGGGGAGGAAGATCGCTTGCTGCTGCTGTTGAATCGGCTGTTGCCGCTGCTGCTGCTGTTGAAGTTGTTGTTGTTGTTGCTGCTGTAATTCTTGTTGAAGCTGTTGTTGTACCAGGTGATGATGCCGAAACTGCCATTCCGCCTGCTGCCGCTGCTGCTGTTGCTCGTCCCGTGACCATTGCTCGTCCTGCCGGGAACTGGAGCTGACGGGTGTCTCACTGGTTGACGGGGTTTCAGAACCATCGTCGTCATCATCATAGCCGTACCCCATATTGTACATGCCGGCGGCGGCGACGCCGCGGTCATCCGCTGCTGGCGGCGGCGGCGGACGGCGCTGTGACCTCCGATCCCCCTGAATACGCTGCCGTGAAACTCCCACACGCTCGTCCACATCCATACGGTCATCAGTACGACCATCACCTCCGCTGCCGTACCCAATCTCATGCGCACTGTCGTACGTACGACATCCAGGTGCAGTCTCCCGCGAACCTCTCGGGGTCCCCTCTGACGTGTTCCTTCCGGCTGGCGGATATGTGCTGGGGGTCTCCGAGCCCCCGTCGGATTGCTGGGCGCCCTCCTGCCCCCCCGCCTCCTGCAGCTGCAGCTGCCGCTGGGCCCCCTGCTGCCCCCGACCGTCCAGTGCGCACCTCCCCCTAGGAACACCGCCAAGGCCCCTGCGGGCCCCCTCGCTCGGGTCCGCAGCGCCGCCCACCGCCCCGGGACCCGCCGTCGCCGTCCGCTTCCGCTTGTCGCCCCGCTCTGCACTGACGCAGCCGCCGCCGTCGCTCAAGTCGCCGACACCGGTTGCCGTCCTGCCGTACCGTCTGCAGCTGCCGCCAGCGCTTTCCGCGACGAGCGCGCTTCCCCCGGCGCCCCTGCCTCCCGTTCCCGTACATGTTCCGCTGCTGACCTCCACACTAAGCTCCGTGGTGGAGCCACCTGACCGTTGCGGCTGCGGAGGGGGCTGAGGCTGCGGGTAGTCGCGAGAGCGCGACCCAGAAGGCAAAGCGCCGCCGCCACCGCCGATGCTGCTCACCAGCCCCGGCGCTGTCGCCCCCGGCAGCGGTGGAGGCGGCGGTGCGGCAGGTACAGGGCGGCGCAAAAGGAGCGGCCGCGGCAGCTGCAGCGCGGCCGCCATCGTGGCCACCGCCGCTGCCGCCGCGGCAGCAGGCATCATCGTTGGAGCTTGCGGGCAGGTGAAGGTGTTCGGTCCAGGAGGCATCCCGGGCAGGAGACCGGCGCTGATGCCGCCATTCGATTGCGGTACGGCCCCCTGCGCCGAATCCGTGTGCTCCCCCGGCGACTGAGAGGCGCAGGTTGCGGACATGACCAGGCTGCGGGGCCCCCGCCCCGCCTGGCCGCCGCCCGGGTGCGGGACAGGTCCGGGCAACGGGATGGAGGAGGCGACGGGCAGCGAACAAGGTGGCCCCGTTCCGTTGTTAACCTGAGCGGCCTCCAGGGAGGGCGGTTGCGGCGGTTGCGGTGGCATCGGCAGCTGCATGATTGCGGCCTGGCCCTGGCTCTGGCCGGGCAGAGGCAAGGACGGCAGCGGCATTAGGGCCCTCAGGGGCTGTAGGAGGCCCTGAGAATGGACGTGCGGCAGCGAGGGCGGCAGCAGGGAAGGCTGCGGCGGCGACGGGGCCTGGGAAGCTGCAGCTGGTGCTGTCCCTACAGCGGGTGCTGCCTCTGTTAATCCGGACTGAGGTTGCATCTGGCGCTGCAGCTGCAACTGTACAAAAGGGGGTGGGGGGGCCATGACGGACGCTTGCAGTTTTGAGAGCGCAGCTGCCAGCTTCTGTTGCTGCTGTTGTTGTGATTGTTGCTGTTGCTGATGAAGTTGCTGCTGCTGATATTGCTGCAGCTGTAAGTATTGTTGAAGTTGCAGCGCAACATGCGCAGGATGAGACGCGACGGCCATGGACGGCGTGGGAAGCTGGGGGGGTTTCGGAAGGGGCGATGGCCCTGAACTTGGGCCGGACATTTGACCGAGCAGTCCGCACATCCCCGCAGGTCCAAGCATCGGAAAGGGCTGCGGCTGCGGTGCTAGCAGAGGTGCGGATGGGGTTGACAACGCAAGCTGCTGTTGCTGGAGGAACCCCGAAGAGCTGCCCGTAGCGGTAGGTAGTGACTCTGGGCCCATCGGCGGGGAGGAATGAGAGCGGGTGCGCGCGGTTTGTTCAGGGAACCTGCCCTCGCAATGCAGCCTTCGACTATTCCTCCTAGCGCGGTTTCATTTTTCTGCATACAGAAGATGGTAGATGCTTCCCACCATTCCAAGTAATTATTTAATAAAAGCACCCAGGCCGATGCGTGCCAAATGGTAACTGTCGGAAAAGCGGGAACGCTACGGAAAGTGCGCTCCAGGTGTCGCAACCTTTTAAGGACTTCAGTCTGCTGCAGACGTGGTCGACGCTCATGAGTTTTTGTGATAGTGAAGGATTGGTCGTTTGCCACGACCGCTGCGCTGTCGACGCTTAAAACGTGAACGATATAGCCTAACTACTCTATGAGGATGCCGGTGCAGCTCAAGGATACTCCGTTGCCAGAAATATCTTTAACGGCAATTGCGGCAAATCGTATTTGCGAATCAGATACCGGTACTCTGACGAAAAATCGTACAATTTGGGGACACTTTCCGTTTGCATCGTCGGGACCTGACGGAACACTCGTTGTCTGCTGTTTGCCATCTACCCACTATAAGCAAACACAATTTTGCTTACTTATTGAACACAGTTTCACTTCGCTGATTTCGTGACTGTGCTGATCCCGGTGTACGCAAGTAAAGTCCCGAATTCGTTCCTAAATCGAGGTCGCAAATGACATCATAATTTTGCACTGCACCGCTCGCACCTACCATATTTTGAACTGATACATGCCAGCCCTGTCAGCTAATTTGTCAACTGAGAGTTAATAGTTGGGCTGGTGTCGAATGGGAAGGGTGATTGGAAGCTTGGGGTTTGGCAAACGTCGGTGTTTCCAGTCGCAATTGGAACTCAGTCAAAAAATGTCTCACATGAGGCTGCTGCGCCAGGAGCCTCATGATACCATTTTATCAGGCCTATTACTGCCCACCCGGCCCAGCCATTCACTGGGTCGTCCCGGACAGCGCTGTGCAAGGCTAGCACGGCCTCCTTAGCTGCGGAGAGCTGCGGAGATGCGGCATGTCTGGCTGCTAATACTCGATAACACAATCCGGTGAATGAACCGGGCACTGGTCCAAACTGGACAAACTGCTGTTGAGCTGTGCAGTGTCGCTGAAATTGGAAAGCCGGTGATGAGGGTGTTTGAGCTAGCCCAGCTGCATGTCCTTTTCGCCTACCCCAGATGTGGTTATTACCGTTGGTTTACGCCTGCCGTGAATATACCCACTCAAGTCCTCGGGAAGTGAGGGCTCTGTACAGGGACGGACGGGGAATAGGCACACCGTGGTGGGAGCCGCAGGGAGCCAGGACCAGGAGAGGCGCTGAGGGAAGCCAGGGATCTTGGCACCGGACCTGCCATCGGAGTGTTGCAGGCATATCCGTCAGCCTTGAGGAAGGACCCAGTTGACTGGAACCGCAACCGCCCGAGCCCTCCGGAGGGGGGTAGTACCGGCAACCTCCTGGGTGATGTCGACCATGGTGAGGTCGCCGAGGATGAGGGTGTGATCGGGCACACTCGACCAAATGTGGACTGCTCAGTTGGATGCCACCAACACCAAGGTGCCCGAGCACTTTTCTGCGACTACATGGAACCCAGTTTGAGTGTGTCCGTGCAGCCCTGGGCCGCGAGTGACAGTCACCCCAGGCCATTGCTACACATCAACATGCCATTCCCCCAGGCGGGGTGGGTGCTGGGTAAGGTTCAGAGTGAAAACCCAGATGGCAAAGTCAGCCTGGTAGGTGTGGCCACGGTGGTGGGCGGTGCTACTCAGGAAATCACCAGTGGCAGATGAGTGGGACCTGTTGCTGCTTCCCACACTTCCAAACCGGGAGCCTTGGCGGGGCGGAACCTTGATAGGGCACCTCGATACAAGGTTCTCATCCTGAGGGGACAGTTACCCAGCATACCAGGAGGAGACAAGAACTGCCTGCCTGCCTGCCTGCCGGGCAGGAATGGAGGAACACCATGGGGGTGCGGAGGGGCAGAGGTACAGAAAGGGTAAGTTAAGAGTAAAACAGAGAGGGTACAGTTGGCATATGCTTGAGTTGGGGCACATGAAGCACGGGTGGCTGGAGCTTGCTGGTTGGCAGGGGGATGGCGGGCGGATGCCATGTGTGGAGTGTGAGGCTCGCTTCGGCTGAAAGTGTTACAAAGGTTGTAAGTGAGCCCTTCGTACCATACAGATGCTCACCCCACCTAAGCCGGCCCTTATGGTGTCGGGCTTCTGACTTCAGAAATGACGGACCGACCGACATTAGAGCTGCCCGAAGGCGATTTGGCGGTAGCACCCTTCCAGGCACAGGGACAAAACAAAGCCCCCCAGTTAGGAGAGGGAGAGCTGTGACACCGCAACTGCTGGACCCGACATTGAGAGGAGGGCCCTCTCCTGTATGGCCATGGCACCAGTAGTGCAGCAAAACTTTACCAGCGGATTCACCGTGTGGGTTTTGCGGCCGATGCGTGGTCCCCAACGTTCGCGTGGAGACCATAGCAAGGACTGGCTCAGCCGTGTGTGCGTGCAAAAGATGCGAAAGCGTGCGACACGTTCAGACACATATATATGCACGATGCCATGTATTGCGGAGGGGGTTTGCTGAAGCGCACTGGTGGGTGCCTACCCCCTCGGATTGCGGGTGGCCAGCCATGAGTTTCCTGGGACGGGGTAGGGGGTTCACATATCAACCTGGGCAGCTGGCTGGGCAGGTATGGTTGTGTGAGTCAGTGTGTCACCGGGGACCATCAGCAGCATACATCACTGAAACGGACAACGGGCGGCAGTCGCCATGCATAATGGTGAAGTTGTACCGCAGCTCTGAGGCAATGCGATTTATGCTTTGGGATCTAAATGGGCGCGTTCAGATCGACGCGTATCTATCTAGGTTCTCCGGAAGCCTGTACTGTGGGACTGCAAAACTGCTCTACCAGGGCATGATATGATAATAATGTCATCTTAATTTGCTACGTGTTAACCATCAGGTATGTGCTTAGCGCAGTCATCTATCCATTACGGACTCCGACACGGTCTGCATGCGCACCTTGTTGTAACACGTTATAACAACACAAGTTGTATGCCATGGAACTCTTTTGGAAGAGGGAAATCAGAAGCTGTACAATTCGTGAAATTAAGTTGACGAGGGCTGAAGCGCACAATCGCGGAACTCAACAGACAATTGCTAGCATTCCATTCTACAGCATACTCAACTCGCTAATAATGTAATCCTGTATAGCTCCATCTTTATGTCTACTTCGTGTCGTGGAGACACCTTCGTAACACATTCGGGCTGCCAGAATCCGCCGGTTTCCGATAAGCCTGGACGTAGATAAAGTTTCTTTGACACACATTATTGCATAGTGAATGTCTTCTGTTCTAGATCTTGCTCGACGTTGTTTGAGCCAGAAGGTGGACATGCAGCAGCGGACACTGACCAAGGAGCTTGTCATATTGGCATTAATTTAACTGAATTTTATTGGTGTGCTGAGAGTGTTTTATTTACGGTTTTGGAGCCGCCCGGCAAGAGTGAATAAGGGCCATGGTGTCCACTGAAGAAGGCACGGTACCTTTACACCATCCTTCAGCGTCTACTGAAGCTGAGGCAGATGCAGATGAACCGCCACCCTTGCAGCTGGGGCAAATTGAACAGGACATGTCCAAGCCATCACGGCCACCACCAAAAGTGTTCGCCTCACCACGGAAAAAGTCGGAAATGCAGCGGGGACCTGAGGCTCGGGGTGTAGCACGCAGCAAGTCGATCAAAGCCAAGCTGCGAAAGGCGTTGGCGCCGTACCTAACTTCGACTTACCTGCAATCCGAAATTGTCAAGCACTTTACCAAGGAATTCCTCGCCGCGCATCCACCACCCGAAAACGAGGTAAGAGGTGAAATTTATTGTCTGAAAGAGCGGGATGCAGGACAGGACCCGGCGTGGGCTCGAGGGCTACTTTTGCTGCGTTGAGACGCCACGAGGGTATCGGACGGCTTTCAGAAAGGCTAGTCGGGGGAAAAAGGTACAAAGGCAGTCAAAGATACCCTTGCCCCAGCTATGGCACCTGCGCGATAAGTTCTCTGCCCATTCAAACCCTCAATTTTTCCTCTCCCCCTTTCCTTCCTTACACCTCTCCCCCCTGTTTTCCCCTCCCTGCCCCCTTCCTCCCCCTCCCCAGGACGACCTGCCAGCCTACGTGGAGCAGCACCTGTCCGAGCTGACCCGGGTCACTGAGCGCTGGACGGGCTGCGTCATGAGGGCCCTGGACCCCCTGGCGCACGAGCTGGAGGTGGATGTGAAGCTGGAGGTGCGGGAAACAGGGGACCACGGTGGGGGGATAAAGGGGGGGGAAAAGAGGGTTTATGTGGAAATGGAGTTTTGTCTGGTCTGGGGGATGCGGCGGTAGGTTGGTACCCGTATGAGGGAGCTCGGATGTGCGAGGGAGCTGCAGATGTCCCCCCGGCCGAACACAGCAGCCGGTGACTAGCCCTGTCGGGGCGGTCAAGGAGTCGGTTCGGATGAAGAGTCCCCGGGGCCCCTCAGTGGGAGGTTCCCGGCTGGTGCGAAGTGTGCCGTGTCCAGGTGCACATGAAGCCGCTAGGTTGCTGGGGGTTTGGGGGGTCTGGGGGATTGCTTTCCTTTGGGGTTTCAGGGGATGTACGCACCACCCCTGTAGCAAATGATGGGTGGCCACCTGCTTGTTGTCGTACCACACTCGCGCTGTGGTGTCGTACTGGATAGTCTGAGTCAGGAGGATGCACCGGGGCGCCTGTCAAGGGGGCTGCTTAACCCCCCCCGCTCCGCTCTCCCCCCGCGGGAAGTGGGATGTCCTGGGGCGGCTCCTGAGGGCCCGGGGGGGGGGGACGATTGCGGAGCTCGGCCAACCCGCACGTTGCTCTTCATGCACCTGCCTGTCAACAAGCTCTGGGATTTGGACACGCCTGGGGCCCTCCTGTTTCCCCACCTGGCCGCCGCCGGCCGCCTCTGGTAAAGTTGACCTCGCACCCGCAGTTCACCATCGTGCGGTTGACCTCCACCCTTTTGCTCTTCCCGCTCCCCGGTCTGGTGCCGACCTTTACCCCGGGTTCCGTCCTACACGTCAATACACACGGTGGCGTCGTACAGCTACTGCGGGCCCGTGAGGAGGGGCGGTTGAGAAGGGAGGACGATCAACACGGAGCCATGGTTGGTTTGGGGGGGGGGAGGGAGCGGTGGTCCTGGGCGCGGTGGAGGGCGGGGAGGGAGGGGGAAGCAGTAGTACACGGATGCGTGGTGGCCCAGGACAGGGGGCTGCACGCCCAGGGCGCCGAGGGGGGTTGCGTCGGCTGCTGCCTTCATACGGGGCTTCTGTGCTGGGGGGAAATGCGGGTAGTAGGGGTGTCAGGGTTTTAGAGCTTAAAACGCCTTCCGCCCGACCCTGTCTTTCTGTCTGCCCCAACCCCCACCCCCCACCCGACTTCCGCCCTCTGACATGCCTGAAGCTGCTACGCCCCGCTCCCATCACAAGCGCTGTGTATTGCCCCCCCTCCCCCCTCACCCTCCCCCTCCAGGAGATCTCCTCCGAGCCCCCCAGTGGTGAGGGCGACTGCGAGGAGGGCCCCTACCCGCACGAGGAGGACCTGGATGCGCCCCCCCGACCCGAGGGGGGCCTCACACCCTCACAGATATTCGGCGCAGTGCACCTTGTGTCGGATGTGAAGGTAGGGCCGGGTGGGGGTGGGGTGGGGGTAGGGTGGGCTTGGAGGCGGGGCCGGGGCCTCGGGTGAGGGTTTGGGATGGGAGTAGATGGGGTGGGGTGTCGTGGAGGCTGGAGCGGTGTTTGGTCGGCTCGACCCTGTGGCTGTGTGGGTCGGGGGAGTGAGGGGAGGGCTCCAGTGCTGGTCGCGACAGAAGACCCCCGGGGGTGGGGGTGGGGGTGGGGGCTGCAGGATAGCAACTAAGCGGGTGCTTGGTGGTGGGAGCTAGCAGCTATGATGTGATGGTGTGATGTACTGTTTTCAGTCTCGGGCTTTCCCCCGTGTGCCGACTTCGACTCGGTCTCCAACGTCCTCCTCCTCCTATCCGATGCCCCCGACCCCGACCCGTGCGGCCGGCAGGTGTGGCAACAGATCCTGGCCGCTCAGCGGGCGGAGGAACGACGACAACACGCCATTGCCGAGCTGCACCTGCACCATGCCGCCCGGATCATCCAGGTGGGGGGTTGCGGGGTTTGTGTGTGTGGGGGTTACGGCGGGGTGGGGGAAGGAAACCGGAAGGGAAGTCACGACACTCTGTAAAGGTACATATAAACGTACATACATACATATATATACACGTGCACAGCTATTTGATGCACAGCTGTCCCCCCCTGCTCCCCAAAGGCCCCCCTGCTGCCCCCTCTCAGTGAGGTGGCGGGGGCTGCCCAGTGCTCCGGGGGCCGCCCGGGCAACAGACGCACCGGAGCGCAGGGCCCTTAGCTCCGTGTCCAACCCGACACGCACCCACACACCCACGTGTTTCTCGCTCCCCCGCGCTCCCCCTCTTTTCCCTTTCCCCCGTGCCCCCCTCACCCCTCTCCCACATGGCCCCCGTCACCTCAGCGCTCGTGGCGTAACTTCGTCACTCAGAAGAAGGAGGATCAGGCCCGGCTGGATGCCCTGGTGTCCCCTGACGTGCAGGTGAGGGAGGGGGAGAGGGGGGAGAGGGGGGAGAGGGGGGGGAGGGGGGGGAGGGGTATTGCCCTTCGAACGTCTTGGAGTACCAGAGGGAGGAGGTGATGAGCTATCTGTGCGGGTCCTGATGGCTGCTACTGCTGCTGGTAATGGGGTGCGGACCGTGGCTGTAGCTGTGGCTCTGCCTACGGCCAGGTGTGTACGTCTGTATGGATGGACCCGATCTAACCTGACATACATAACGCCTGACTTTTGCTCCCGGCCGACCCGGGTTCAAATCCGCCTGCCGGCTCCTCGGGTGTTTGAGGAGTGACGAAATGGGAGGTGGCCCCCCATCATATGGACGATGTAGGACGTGATAAAATCAACTTGCGAGCTGACCAGGAACTAAGTTGATGCGCCGTTGATTCGCTAGATTTGGTTGGATGCTGGTGGTGAGTTGCTGAACCCAACGAATACATTCTGAAGTCGGATGGGGTGACGGATTAGGGTGCCCCTCTAGCAGGGGAGAGCAGGGACTGCCCGGGAAAGGGGCCGCTGGCGAAGTTAACCACCCTGTAACAATATACATACATAAGTCTCGTTCCGACCTGATTCTAATCCTGACCCACGGGTCACTCCGCCCCTCCGCGCTTCCGCCTGCCTCTTCCCCTGCTGAAGGCCATGTTGAGTGCCGCCGCCTACAAGGCCATGAGGGACGCGCGTAACAAGTTGGCCGTCATGAAGCTCAGGAGGTCCATCAGCCGGAAGTACAAGGGGTTCGGATCCACGACCCGTGAGTGGCGGCGGAGGAGGAGGAGGATGGGGGGGCCGTGTGTGGGGTGGGGGTGTGCCTGTGTGTTTTGATTTGTGGATGCAGCAACGGGTGTATTCGGGGGTAGATATCCGCGGCTTACTGGGGCTGTCTGGCTCTCGCGCTCGATGGGTGAGGGGGTCATCAGTTGGCAGTTGGCAGTTGCACGTCCGTTAGAAACGGAAGTGCGTTCCGGGCAGCTCAACTCAGCTCAGCGACATTACGCTCTATCCTCCGAGTCCACCTGACGATATCGCAGTCCAACCCCACTCCCACCCCCACCCCCAGCACCTCAGCCCCCCAAGACGCCCCCCCCGCCCCCCACCCCCGCCAACCCCCTTCTCTTCCCCCCGCCCCATCTCCCCCCCGCTGTGTGTGTTTCCACGTTCCTCACTGGGTCCCCCGCTCCACCCAGGCCGCCCCACCCTGGCAGGCCTGCCCACACTCTCGTCCGCCCCCCGATCTCCAACCCCCCCGCCTACCGGCAACATCCCCTTCCTGCCTCCGCTCGCAGCCCGCGACCTGGACCCCATTGTCCGAACACCAGCGCCAATAACCCCGGCGGCTACGAGCAGCAGCACGGCACAGCCCTCCCTGCCCTCCCTGCCGTACACAGCTCGGAAGCAGCAGCGGCACGGCAACCAGGACAGCACGGCGAACTCCAGGTTGGGCGGTCGTGGGAGGTGGGAGGTGGGAGGTGGGAGGTGGGAGGTGGAGGGGTATTAGCGGGGAGGGGCGCCGTATGTGGGTGCAGGTTGTCGTTATGGATGGATGGTCTTACATAAAGACATACACGTGCGCGTGATGACGGACTCTACCTGAAGAGGAAAACATGTTGAGGTTTGAGGTTACTGACGCCGTACGGACGCCGTACAGTTTGGAGTTTGTAACGGCCCCACTCACCCAGTACCTTCAATACACAGCCAACACCACCGACGCGAACCCCCCATGCTGCCGTACAACCTCCGCTTCCCCCTACGTCAAGCACCCCGTTCTGCCCCCGCCGCCTGCCCAGGTCGGACAGCGGCGAGAGTGCTGGTGCCGGTGGCGGTGGTGGCAAGGACACCGGCTCGAGGTCCGCCTCTCCCGGCCCTGCGCGGTCCCGGCTGCTCTCCCGCAATGCCAGCGCGGGCGCCCGCTCCTTCGCCGCCCGGTCCGCCCACATCATCACCCGGCTGGTGTCCATGAAGGACCTCCAGATGGGGGACACCGGGCAGCAGCAGCGAGGAGGGGGAGGGGGAGGGGGGGCGGAAGATGGAAGTGGTGGGGATGGTGCTGGGGGTGGGGTTGGGGGTGATGGGGCCCATGCCCATCATCCGCCGCGGCGGTCTCGCCGCACAGAAGCGGAGTCGTCAAGGTTACGTGGTTCCGGAGCTGGGGTTGGTGGTTCCGGAGTGCGGGGAGGAGGGCAGGGAGAGCAGCAGCAGCAAGGTCGTCAGTCCCGGGGCCAGCTCCCGGAAGGGGAGGAGGAGGGAGAGGATGATGACGATGGTGAAGGACTGATGTTGTTGGAGGAGGAGGAGGAGGAGGAGGAGGAGGACAGTGAGTGCGCTAGTGGATCCGAGTTAGATGAGGGGGAGACGGCGGAGGCGGCGATGGAGGAGGCGGAGGAGGTGGTGCAGGTCGCGGCGAAACTGGCAAAGGCGTTCATGGGCGCCGAAGACAGCGACGACGACAGTGACGAAGACAACGACGAAGACGGAGACGGGGCCGCACTAGGGTTTCGGAGCAAGACTCCCATGGGTGATGAGGCCCTCGCAGCGCTAACCGCGGTGGAGGCGGCGGCGGCGGCGGTGGCGGCGGGGGGAGATGTTGACGGCAAGGCAGCGGCGGCAGCACGGATGGCGGCACTGATGTCGGCGTCGGGTATTCGCGCCGTGGGCGAGGGCGTTACTGCTTTACCTGGATCCGGATCCGCATTGGGATCTGGATCCAATGGCGGCCCGCAGGCGAGGGTTCACCGCGGCCGTTCGATGGTCAAGGACGCCAGCATGTTGCGGCAAATGATCGCGGGGGCCCTGGCGGCGGCGGCGGCGCCGGTGTTGGGCAGGAACGGTGCTCTGGCAGTGGCGCAGATGGGCTTGGGGGACCTGCTACAGCTGCCAGGCGCGAAAGGCCTGCTGCCCAAAGCCGCCGCCGCCCTGGCTAGCAGTCGCCCTGCAGCTGCTGCGTCCGGGGGCAAACTGGCGGCTGTGGGTCGCGGAGTCAACCAGCCCCTGCAGCCAGCGCAGGCCTCGGACGTCAAGCTGGCGGGGCCCCAGCCTACCCACACTGGCGGCGGCAAAGCCGTCAGCGGCGGTTTCGGAGACCTAGGTCGCCGTGGCTCCGACGGCGGTATTTCCCACCCGGCCATGTCGTCACAGCGTACGGGGCCGGGGGCTCCGTCACGGAAGACCATCAGCGGCGACGTCCTGGACGCCGCCTCCCTGGTGAACTTCAACAGCAGCATCAGCGCCGTCTTGGGAAACCCCCACCGCCCGCCACCACCTCGTATTGCACCGCTACACGGCAGCAGCGGCGGCGGACCTGTCACTCTGCCTGCTGTACACGCCAACGGTGGGGATTTCGTATTTGAGGCGGGGGGAGGAGGAGATGCAGCCGCCGGCTGGCGCATCTCCCCAGCAAATCTTCCTGGCGGTGGCGGCGGCGGCGGCGGTCCGCGCGGTAGCCCGACGGGAGTGTCGGCGGCAGCGGCAGCGGCACGGGCGACACAGCCCTGGACGTCAGCCCGACGTCACGCCCATCCCCCCGGTGCCCACACAATGGTCAGTTCGTTACCCGACCCCCGCAGCCCCAACAAGGACGGAGGAGGTAAACCCCGGGAGCTGAACTGGCTGCTGCCGCCAATTAATCGAGGGGGCCCCGCGGGGCCGCCAGGGGGAGCTGCAGCGGCGGCGGCGGTGACGGCACAGGCTGCTGCCCACTCTTTGGCGGCGGCGGCAACGGCTGTTGCCGTACACGGCGGGGCCGCTGGCAACTTGGTGCCCCGTGTTCCTAGTGATTCCAGTATGCAGAGGCTGCTGCTCGTGCAGGGGGTCGGGACGAGTAGCTTTAATAGCGGTGGAGGTGGAGGTGGAGGCGGGGTTGTGGCGGGAGGTCCTGGAGCGATGGCTGCGGCTGCTGCGGCGGCGGCAGTTGGACGAGCACGTGCCGGTGCCGGTGCGATGGGGAGCTCCCTGGACAGCTCGCTACAGCAGATACGGCAACAGGTACGTGCGTATGTATGTATGTGTTGATATGCATGTATGCTTAGAGGGCCCACTGCGGGCGTTTAGGAGAGCTAAGTCGTGAAGGTGGCAATGACCTGTCCTATCCTATCGGGACCTGGCCCCCCTTGGATGTATCCGCCCATGTAGCCCACATGCGGTCCATGTGTGTATCCACCCGCCCACCCCGCTGCTGCTGCTGCTGCTGCTGCTGCTGTTTGTTGTGGTTCGCAGACCGGTTTGATGATCAGCAGTCTCGGCGGTGGCAGCAACGGGGGAGGTGGGGGCTTGCACAGGTCGAGAATGAACGTGCTGGAGCAGGCCGAGGTGACCGCCGGCAGCAGCAGCAGCAGCACCGGTAGTGGTGGTAACCATCACCACCACCATCCGCACCACCCCTCGCACCAACATCACCAACACGCGCTACATCCTGTCATGGGGGGGGGCGGCGGGGGAGCCGGTAACGGTAGCGGTAGCGGCTCCGGGGGCTCCAGGACAATTTCCGCTCGGCCGGGCGGGTCCCTGCAGCAGCAGCACTAGCAGCAGAAGTACCCCTTAGGGCCAGTACGTGCACTGCGGGCCAATTAAATTAGGCTGAAAGTCGTGATGGTGATGGTGATGGTGGCGGTGGTGGTGGTGGTGGTCGTCGTCGTACATCCACACGTGCACAAGCATGTGACTGCTACTCGAGAGGGGGGGTTCTTGTTGTCCCTACCCAGCAGGTGGAGGTTGCAGCCCCCGGATGGGGGGCCCTTGCTTTACTTTGCTTACCCTGCACACGTACTGCCGCATTGTTGTTCCCCTCATGTAACCCCCCTGGTAAGCCAGTATCGGTGAACGGCTTACCGTTGGTGAGGGTCCAATGGTTGGATTGATAGGCAAATGTAGGACCATTGCCGTACACACTGTTGTACATAGTGACGTACAGATAGACCGTACACCCCTTGACTTCACGTAGAACAGACGAATATCCTGTTTGGCATTTTGAATTGTTGTGCGCATTTCGGTTTTGGTGCAGCTGGTGGGGCAGCACGTGGAGAGATGGGCTCATGGGGTGCAGGCAGCAGGCGGCGATGGCGGCGAGATTTCATTGGGGTTTGTCGTCGTACCATATGAATGTTTCTCGTACATGGTTTGGTGAGCGGAGGATGCGTATGAATGGGAGAGGTGGGTTTGTGTATCGTATGTGTTTTTATGGGAGGGCCACTGGCTGTCTTCACCCCTCTCTCTCCCCCTCCCGCAATCCCCCACACTGCCTCCATCCGGCAGCCCGGCGGTCAGGTAGCCTGCTTTCAGTGTTTGTCTGTGGGCTGAGCGGGGTTTGGGGGCTCATGGGCCCTATAGCGCCTGAGGACCACCCGCTGGCGGATGGTGTGATTGATGGGTAGGTTGTGGGCAGGGATGTCCCGTTGGTGAGTTTGTCAGTACAGTAGCCGTTATAGCTCATTTATGGTGGATGGCTGGGGTGGCTGGGGTAGCTGGGCAACAGCAACTACTGCTACTACTACCCGTGATGTACGGGGCGCCTGATAACAAGCAATGAATGAATGCATGGAAGCCCATGGGGGTTTGGCTGGCATGGCTGGTTGGGTTTCAATCTCAGCCTTATGCATGTGAAGGAAGTTATGCTCCCCACACAGGACTAGCTCGCCAGTTAGTGGAGGGTGTGAGCCCACCCGGGGGGGGAGGGCGTGAGGGACCTGCTGGTGAGGGGTGATGAGAGAGGAAAGAAGGAAGCACCGCTGAGTGGCCCCACAATATGTATGTATGTATGTGGTTGCATGTAGTGGCTATCCTGGTAATAGTCGCCAGGTGTGCACAGGTCACAGCACTTGATCACTTCTGCTGTACACTTATATATGATCTAGCACAAAAAGTACGGCCAATAGTAAGTGCGAGGAGCAAGGCCCCCCACACTTAGGGTTATACACTTATGTAGGAGCCCATGCTTGCACATGTGTGCATGTGTGTATTTAAAGTTTACACCTTGAATAAGTTATACACCTTCAACATCAGGTAATGTACGGGAGCCTGTACAGCCCTGATTGAGGACAAGAGCCCAACAGCCAGGCAATCAAGAACTAACTGGCAAAGCACATATTCATATACAACAATTGTCCTGAAAAAGAAGGGGATTACCACTGTCATGATCACTATACTACCAGTTATGTATTGATTGTGACTGCAGGTGTGGTTCGATGAATTACTTTCTCTGGTGACCCCACCGAGAAGTGTGGAACACATGATCCCCCCGGGCGTAGGTGCGTCTGCTGAGGAGGCAGAGTAGTCATGGAGGAGACATCCGGGTGCACATACATACATACATAGGCACGTCTCTGTCGCAAGTAAGCTGCTGCATTGGTTGCTGCAGGTTGTGGTCGTGCCAATTAGCCGTTGTCTGGTAGAGGAATTGTGTCTGTCTGTCTATATATCTGGCACATCTCCTGCTGGCTGGCATGGGAGTGATGGGCCCTATCAAACACTAGTTAACTTGCGACGGTGTTTTCCTGCAAAATCGCCTTCAGGCAACCCTCATGTCGGTCGTTCAGTCAGTCATGGACAGTGGTGACCTGGGATGAAGTTGCTGACCAGTAATGGAGTTGAGCCGCCATTGATCTGGCAGATTCAATTGGGTGCCAGTGCTGCGTGCTGAACCTAAGTGATCCACTGAGAAGTTGGATAAGGTGACTGGATGAGGGTGAACCAAAATACTTTGAAGGCAGGGTTTCGCAGGGTAGCTGCCACGGGTGAAGATATACCCCCCTGTTCCACACATCATACATGTGCACACTACATGCATGTGCATCACAATTGGGAGATGGAGTGCACGAGAGCACCACCCTTCGCCTGCCTTTTTAGTCCCCCCATCCGTTAACAAAGCAGGAGGTGTTTGTGGCGAGCTGGTAGATCAGGGCTCGTGTCTGCAGACCACCTATCTCACTTGCTGTAAGAGGGATCAGCTCCAGCATCCAAAAGGGTTAACTGAGCCCACATACGTTTCAACATCCTCGCCAGACGTACTGGTTCCCATTTCATGGCCTCCAACATGCTCTGTTGATGATCGAATCCCTCTTCAGCACGAATGTCATTATAGGCTGGGCATTCCAATAACACGTGTTTTTCATCCTCGATTCGGCTATTAGTACCGCAACAGCGGCAAAACCGCTGCCCCCTGGGGACATGGTACTTGCCCCTTCATGCTCTGTTTGTATCCAGCGCCCAGCAACATAAACGAAACTGCATTAGCAGTAAACCTGTCTGGATCGTCGCAAGCACGCAGCCGCCATAGCATAATCATTATTGACTGAACAGTTAGCCTTCTCGTGATGTGGCAATCCGTAGAATGACATACACACAAAGCAGGAGTGTCATTGCGGCAACGTGTGTTGCCGCTGCTGCGCCAAATCCATGAGTCGGGACTGCCCGATATGTAGGTGGTACTACCGTTGCATCCATGTTCGACGCCGGCCCTTCTGCTGGCTGGCAGTCCAAGGCGCGCCAAAGTGCCCGTGCTTCATGGACCAATTGTTGTCTGCTCCCAGCCAGAACGCATTCGGGGATCTTTCCAAATGCACATTTTGAAGTCGGAATGCAGCGGCAAAGCTGATGGTGTCGCAAAGGTACACTTTGTTTGAACTTGGATTGAATGAATGAGAAGAAAAAAATAAGAAGGACATGTCCTTCTTATTTTGTACAACAATCAAACAGGCACGAGCAAGACGCCATGAGGGAGGTGCCATGGGTCGGTATTCGGATATGTGTGTATGTATGTCGTTACAGGGTGGTTAAGCTTCACCAGCGGCCCCCTTTCCCGAGGCAGATCTCTGCTCTCCCCTGCGAGAGGGGCACCCTACCCCGTTCACCCAATCCGACTTCAGAATGTATACGTTGGGTTCAGCAACTCTCCACCAGCATTCGGATCAACGGTGACTCGACAGTTCCTGATCAGCTCGCAAGTTGATATTATAACGTCCAACACCATCCATAAGATGGGCAGCCTCCTCCCATTTCCACATTTCTCAAACTTCATATGGGTGCAAAAGTAGGGGAGGGTTTGCAAGGAGTTGGAGGGATGTTGCAAGGGTATGCGCTTTTGCTGGGCATGCAGAAGAATTTGCAATAATAGGAAGCAGAGTCCAGGCTGTAGGTGAGCGGGTACAAGCAGCAGCCCCCATGGTAGAGGCGAGAGATTGAAGACAGAGGGTGGAAGGTGGTAAGTGAAGGGGTGGAAGCTGCTGGC